ATGTGACTGCAACTACGTAATCGTAAACTTGATGTTTACATTTTTTTGGCGGGAACTCATCGCAACTGATTTCTGGACAAGCTTCACTGCATGCTGATCAATCCAACATACCGGAAACCTTACTTTTTTAAATAGTTTGCCGAAGACTGACAAATATATTAAATGAAAGAATTTCAATTTAAATGTGTCGGCAAGATCTTCTGAAGGCGTAAATTTTGCTACTGAAGCATTGCCAAAGATCTTGCAATATTCATCCACTCTCTGCACAGTGGCCAGTAGGACTGTAGGTGTATCATGAAGACCAGCATTATCATATTATCATGCATATGAAATTTTTTTAAAATTGAGACTTTGAGTAGATGACCGTCGACCTTTAGAGGGGCTGACCCCCAACAAGGAAATAAAGAATGAATTGTTAACTGATTCTAAAAAATTTTGTGGTTTGTCTGGGTCCCTAATTACTATGTTTGCGATTTGCCCCTTGCCACTATTCTAGATTGAAATTTTCCTCCTTATGTATGAAATCTTGTAGCATCAAAGTAAATTTTTTATGTAAATTTGGACTTTTGTGTCTCAATCAATACAATCATACAATTTATCATCAATTGAATAGGAGATAATTCATCTAGTGGAAATCTTGTATCTCTGAAAATATGGGGGACAGCAATAAACTAGTTATGGCTCCAAGAGTAAATAGATTCCTTGCCAGGCACTGTGGGCTCCAATGCCATTGAAAGATATATTCCATGCCGGGGCCACCTGGCTTCCCTTCTTAAATCCTAATGAAATGTTCTATTTTCTATCCTGAAATTAAATTCAACCTGAATTTTTTAGTTACATCTACCATTACCAATAACACATGAATCAGCACTTTGCATGCTAACAGGCTGCTAAGTCTATAATTCATATCACTTCTGTTTTCTGACTCCTGAGCATTCTGGCCTTCAAAGTGGATTGCAATTTGACTTCAACATTACAATATTCAATATGGTTTTGACATTTCAATGTGTTAAATTGGCAAGACCATCATAATTGGAAACAAGAATAAGGATACATGCCTTTCAGATCACACTACATCCCACCTTTAACATTGCATTGTGCTTTCAATGCATATTGGCAAATGACTCTTCAGAAAACAGTTCATTTTTAATTTAGAAATCTAATTACTAATTTCTACTTCAATATCTATATAATGATGCTTGTATCCAATATCCATGATACTGAACAGGCCCAATTGGAATTATTGGGCAGCAGTTCCCTTAATCTGCAGGGAAAAACAATCATTTTGTGGGTGATTTTAGTAAACTGCAAGTGAAAATAGGGTGTATATATTTTTTAATAGAGAAATGAAAAATAAACAAACTGGTGAAATGGGCAAAATTCACAGGCATTTTTGTGCAATTCACAGTTGGCTTCTGCCCAATTTCCTGCTTTGGGTACAAGCTACTCAATGGTCTCAAGAAGTAAGAATCTAGTGAAGTTTCTGCTTTGCCACAATGCTTTAACATTGCAGTTTGGCTTCAACATTACAGTCTGCCTTTAACATTGACGTCTTCCTTTAACATTCCATTCTGACTTTAACATTGCATTCTGCCTTTAACATTGACATTTGCCTTTAACATTCCATTCATCCGCCTTTAACGTTGCAGTCCGCCTTTAACATTCCATTCCGCCTTTAACATTGCAGTCCGCCTTTGACGTTGCAGTCCGCCTTGAACATCGCAGTCTGCCTTGAACATCGCAGTCTGCCTTGAACATCGCAGCCCGCCTTGAACATCGCAGTCTGCCTTGAACATCGCAGCCCGCCTTGAACATCGCAGTCCGCCTTGAACATCGCAGTCCGCCATGAACATCGCAGTCCGCCTTTAACGTTGCTGTACGCTAACAATCTAGTGGTCTGGGCCCATACTTTCAAAAAAAGTTAAGAGATCGTAAGTTCAGCAGCCAGTCATTGACGGCCTTTCAAGCAAAATCCACCAATCATAGACAAGAAAATAGAGCGTAAGTACTTACGTTAACTTAGCGAATTTTAAAAGTATGGCCCCAGATTAGTAAACTAAGTATTATTTGTTAACTTAGTATTAGTGAATGTTCGGAGCTAAGTACTTATTTGCTTTAATGTATAATCTGTGCTCCAGCAACCAGGTCTAGACAGAATGGCTGAAGCTAAGGAATTAAACAAGAAAAGTGGTAGTCCTGAAAAAACGGTGCGACGGGCGCTTCTCACGGGCATCACAGGGCAGGTGAGATTTTAAAAGCTCTTTATTCTATTAACATCATATAATTTCTGTAAAAAATTGAGTGTTATTGCGATTATCGACTGATTTTTATTGTATTTTTTCTCATGTTTGAAATGATGTAAAGTGATATCGTGTATTTATTTGGTAAAACTATCAAATTCTCAATGCGATGTTTATTTGTGTTGCAGGATGGGTCGTACTTAGCTGAGTTACTGCTGAGTAAAGGATATGAAGTTCATGGGATCATCAGACGTTCCTCATCGTTCAACACCGGTCGCATTCATCACTTGTACCAAGACACCAAGGTAAGCTTCTGGTCCATAGCGCGCTGTTTAAAGTTTTAAACTTGCTTATGTATTTCAATAGTTTTTTACATTGAATTTTCATAGAAAGATTCCATTAAGATATGCATTTTGGTGATGGAGTAGTTCAATCACACTGCAAATTAAACTTCAAATTATCAATAGCTGTTTATTTTCTGAACTAGAAAATTCCTATTGATAAATACCAGCATATCTATTGCCGTAAGCGTGCCATCAAGGTGGTAGTGTATATACTGTATATTGTCTCGCATTTTCTGTTTAGAAGCTGTTTTTCCTCCCAATAAAAAGCTAAGAGTTGAGGTTAATTTTTTCGTTGCTAGCTAAATAATTTCTGCGCGTTTTTGATGGTCTGTATCAAATAAGTTTGTCTTGGAGGTTGACCATAGTTTAATTCGTAAATTCTACGCGCCTGCCGTCAAAAGTTCACAGTGATTTATTGTCTTATTCAAGGCTGGATTCAGTGGCGCACAGATGCTGATTAGTTGAGACTTCTTATCAAGTCGTCTAACTTATATAATTCAGCCTTTCATTAAATTCTCTTAATTTTTTATATTTTTTATGTTTAGTAGCCTCGTCATTGCATCGGATTATATTTGAAAGCACACATTTTCAGTGCAATAAAAAAATTAATATCTATGATCCTAAAAAATTATTGTCTTGTGCTGGCGCTGAGAATGTCGTGAGTAGAGTGTACGTTTAATTATTTAAAAGTGTGTCCTGTTAACATGAACCTGCTATTGACTTAACTAAGCCAATTGTAATTAGTACCGGTACTTGTTTGTAGTACTTGTTTATGTTTATTAGTACTTGTTTAGTATATTAGTATTGTGCCGTGGAATAAAATGAACACATGGATGCGTGTCAGTCCCACAGAGAGGGAGCCATGCACTTGCACTACGGTGACCTCACAGACTCCACGTGCTTGGTCAAAATTATCTTCATTCATTTTATCAAAATCATTTCATTCATCAAAATCATTTCATTCATTTTATCCATGGGATAAAATGAACACATGGATGCGTGTCAGTCCCACAGAGAGGGAGCCATGCACTTGCACTATGGCGACCTCACAGACTCCACGTGCTTGGTCAAAATCATCTCCAAGGTCCAGCCGCATGAAATTTACAACCTTGGTGCACAGAGCCACGTCAAGGTGAGCATTCAAAAACACCATCCAATAATGCGGTATGTATATCATCGATAGTGAACGGAAACTATTGTATTATTTCAATGTTATCGCGTAGCTGCTGCCTCTGAGCAAACACTAGTTCTCAACCACAGGGACGATTGAAAGCCATTGTTCCGTAAGCCATGAAATCCTTGACTTCCCACCACATTAATGAGAGAGAAGTGTGACATTATAAGCTTATTTCAACATAAATTCGTATGTGACTGCAGGTGTCTTTTGACCTGGCCGAGTACACTGCCAATGTGGACGCTCTTGGGACCCTGCGTCTGCTAGACGCACTGCGCACTTGTAAACTGGACAAAACCGTCAAGTTCTACCAGGCCAGCACGTCTGAGCTCTTCGGTAAAGTTGTCGAAACTCCACAGAAAGAAACCACGCCCTTCTATCCCAGATCTCCTTATGGTTAGTTTGTAATTTGATCGACTTTTGGACGAACATTATAGTTGACACGAGCATATTAGTTAAATTTAGCCAACGCGGTTCTGTGAATTAGAATTTACTTTTTATCTATCATTGAATGAACGAAGAAATACTATCCCTTTTTGTCATGATTCCAGAAATTTCAGCTTAATTTTGTCTGTGATGATTCAGTGAACATTTATGCCTTGGAATGTACCGTGATTTGCTGCTAAAATTAATACTGGTAGGTCTAGTTTGGTTTTGCTAATTTTCGATTTTATATGTTTTCTTGCTGTTAACTATTGACCTACAACTTATAATTGAATGCATGATTTTTGCCATCGTTCTATCATTATCTTCCTAGAACGTTTCAATCCCGCGAGCATCCAAGATTCCCGCACACAGGATTAATGTCAATTCTGTACAATAATTATTTGGTTTCTATGCTCTGAACCCTCTAACATTTCTATACAAAACTGTGATCATTTTCTTCACCTTGTTGGGGACTAATCAATAAATAGGTTTTCTTTGACTCCGAACACTTGGTTGAATAGACCCCAACAACCTTGTGTTGCAATCTAAGATTCCCGCACACAGGATTCATGTCAATTCTGTACAAAAAATGATTTATTTTTTCTCCTTACAGAACTGTGATCATTTTCTTCACTTTGTCGTGTTGCGTACAGGTGCCGCTAAACTGTACGCGTACTGGATCGTCGTGAACTACAGGGAGGCGTACGGCATGTACGCGTGCAACGGTATCCTCTTCAACCACGAGTCGCCGAGACGTGGCGAGACGTTCGTCACGCGCAAGATCACGCGCTCCGTTGCTAAGATCCACCTCGGCATCATGGACAGCTTCGAGCTGGGCAACATTGACTCAATGAGAGACTGGGGGCATGCCAAGGATTATGTCGAGGTAACTGCTGTTAGAATTGTATTCTTAATCTCAAGCATCTAATCGCTTATGGAGGAACGAATGGGCATTAACAATAATATACAAGTGTACAATTTAACAATAATTATGTTTTATCATCGATATTAAAGTTCTCGTGTCCTAAATTCTAGCACTCATCGTCAGAAATAAAACAAAATCAAGTAGTACTGAAAATTTTTGAAAATATACTCCATGAAGACCATCGAAAAGACGACAGATGATTTCGAAAGAAAACAAAAGGCGATAACAGGATTCTCACTCCATAACCTGGCCTTTTTAAAATGAATATTGAAACAGGCGGCTGCAAGACCCTGCACCGCTTCTTTGTAACGCAGGCATTGTGCACAAGTGTTCGTTGCTCTGTGAACACCAGGTGTCGAGTGTTGCAGCTGATACGGCGCTCATATTAGTTCAGCTAATTACTTGTACATTGAACATGAGCTAATTGGTTTCAAACAGGCGAGGTGCACTCCGTCAGGGAGTTCGTTGAGGCCGCCTTCCAGGAGGTGACTTCCTTACATAGCGGCAAACCTGAGACTTTTTACAACTGGTTCATTTTTAATTTCCTCATATTAGAGTCATATACAGGATATACGCAAGATTTAAACCAATATCTTATGAATGATAATGCTGGTATTCATGATACTTTTCTGGTCTACTCATAGGACTTAGAAATGAACTTGAGGAAGAGCCTAAAATAACTCTGCTTTGCCACTACCGTATGCTTACCGGGGGCAGCTGCACAAATATAACAAATTCCCAGAAGCCAGAAATTAGTTTTTGTTACCACTATTTATTGGGCCGAAACTGTATCTTAATTTTATAATTACAGGCATTGGATATCAATATCTATTATGTTTATGGATCAGTAATCGCATACGGTCAAGTATTCTTTAGCTGTTCAAAACTATTGAGAAAATTCTGTATGAAAATAAACTACTTGTTTAAGTAACTTGTTTGTCTGTTGTATTTCCCTAGAATAACATGCTTTCTTTGACAGTTGATCATGTAAACTGGCTGTGGTGTTGTGATTATAATTCTCTAACGTTATTCCAGATCGGGCGTTTAATAGAGTGGCGAGGCAGCGGCGACACGGAGGTCGGGGTGGAGAAGGGCACGGACGTGGTGAGGGTGCGTGTCAACCCCAAGTACTATCGCCCTGCCGAAGTGGTGAGTCCGTCACGCAATGCATCATCGGCAATATATGCTTAGTTCCTTGGTTCCTTAGTATTTCTTTCAGACGTAGCAGTCCCAGGCTACGATGGATCGCCGCCTCTGATTATTGCTCATCCGCCCCCATTTGGGCCACCTGATGCACGATGCTGTTGCTTGCTTCTCGCCGCTGGTAGTGTTGCAGGGGAGATCTATCAGTGATTGTGCCCAGGAACACGTCCAGTTGTCTCTTGAAAGTCTCCAGGGTGAACTCCAGCTTTGAGTCTTAGCTTCCGCTGACTTCATTTATTGTTAATGTTTATTACATTTCTCTACTTTGTTTATCGCGTGCGGTTGACGTGTCTTGTAAGCGACGTCTTTGCACGATTGTCTTCGTGGCTGTTGCGTTTCACCTGTCCCGCCTTGTCACTTCGTCTCTCTGAGATGCTAACGCTGCATCTTGATTGTCAGCTTCAGCGGGCTGGACACTTGAGACATTCCGTCCTCCCTTTGTGAATGACAATGACTGGAGATATTTTCAATAATTGACACCTTAAACTTTGTTGACGATGTTGATGCTTCGCGGTGCGAGATATCTTAATTGCTGAAGATAAAGTAGTTTACCATATGGCAATGGAGTTAGCTAAATTGTGATTGTTTATTAACATATTTGCTCCATTATTTCCTCGCTGCTCAGGATTAAATTTAATGGTTTGTGAATGAAAAACTTCGGCTCAAATTTCATCAGATTTTATGACAGATGAGAAATAACTTCAATATGTATCATCCAATATTTGTTATGACCTGGAATACTTATGAAGCTCCTAGAGCTGTTGAACTTTTTGGTGAATATTATTTTCTTTCGGCAGGACTACCTACAAGGCGATGCTTCAAAGGCCTTAAATAAGTTGGGCTGGAAGCCAACCACTACATTCAAGGTAAGGATACATTTTTCTACATGATTATTGATGAATCAACGAAAGATATTTAAATATTCTAATTAATCTTATATATAAAGCACTCATAAAGTACTCCTAATGCTGACTTGTTTACTTTTTGTTTTTGATTGGTTATTTTCTCGAAAAAAAAAAAAACAATTGCAGAGTACAGCATTTGCCTTTCATGTCTAATGGTGGATTGAGGATAAATTTGTACGCATCAACCACATGCGATTTAAGAGCTTATTCACCACAGTCACCAGCCTGAGAAAACTGTAATTGTTTCAAATGTAGCCAGAGAACCAAAATTATTATCGAATCAAAAGCTCATTCAACACAGTTATTTTAACTTTCAGTGAAATCTGCGGTGGCTCGATAAAGTTTAAGTTCATCTCTTTAAAGTGATGCACGCCACGATACATGCCATGTATTGCTATCGTGTTTACCTAAATGTGTATAATGCGAGTATTTAGAGAGCTTATTCTTATTACGACGTATTTAATGTCACTTGAGAGTAAAATGAGGGAGGATGCAGACCTCAGCACGCACTTCAAACCAAAACTTGTTGTACTTTCACCGAAATGTGCAGTCGCCTTTGAAAAATCCTCTAGGCACAAAAGCATTTACTAGCCACCAACAACTGATGTAGCGATCGAAAAATTAAGATCATGATACTACGGGCAAATAATTTATGAAATTATCATAGATTACTATTTCCATTTTGTTCAGGCCTACTTCTCAACCGTCCGTAAGTGTTGAGAACTGTATCAGAGGACACCCAAACAGTAGGCCTCTCACATGGTCTTCTATTTTATTCAAGTGTCGGAAGTTAATTACAAACGCACTCAATAATTTGGCACCATTTAACGTCTAGCTGTACACACGTGTTGACTTCTGAAATGTCATTTTTTGTTTATGTATGAAGCTCATTTATCCGATGGGACAAATAAATCGCCTTCAATTCCAGGCCGCACTGAGACCAGGTGGACAAACATACCGCGAATTTATTTCAATGAGAAATATCAGCAATATGTTACGGATGCACTGTGGTATTTAGCACTATTAATTAACGTGGTAGCTAAAGGATTTTTATAAGTAATAACATTTTTTAATATGCGTTTCTTTATAAGAATTATGACGTTCACAGGAGCTCGTGAAGGACATGATGGCGAGCGACATCGAGCTCATGTCAAAGAACCCCAACGCATAATCTCGTCCACTTCCTCTGCCATGGCGAGCGTGTCTCGTCTTAACGACCAAGTTCTGGATACGCATAAATCGCTACGACCATCGTAACTTCAGGGAGGCTTCAAAATTTGATTTTATTCCATAAATTAGACATCTTTATGTAAAACTCAAGCAGGGTAATTAACACAAGATGTGTCTCGTCATAACGACCAAGTTCTGGATACGCATAAATCGTTACGACCGTCGTAACATCAGAAAGGCTTCAAAAATTTGATTTTATTCCATAAATTAGACAGTTTTATGTAAAACTCGAGCAGGGTGATTAACAAAAGATGTGCAAGTTCAACAACCGTGTACTGAAAGTGTGTTGCACTAGTGATGAGTGTTGCACGATCAAGTGAACGCCATATCCTCTCACCACGTTCCGACTCTCTACGTTCACCATTCGATAGTATTACACTATTCTGACTCAATCATGGGCATGTTGGTTTTATCTCATTATATCGTTATTATATTCCGCTGAATCTCGGAACATTAGAACCAAACATCAAAATAAAGATGTTTCTTGCATAGGCTACTTTACTTACGACCATGTAAGTGAATTGAATTTTAGTGAGTTTTACTTTCAAAAAATTTCTAAAGCAATAATATATAACCACATGCTGCCATCTATCTTCATTCCATATAGTGTTTATGAAACGATTTGATGAAAATTTTTAACACATCCATGGCGTATTGCATCACAATCAATGTTTTATTGAAGTGCACAACATTCCAAGACGAAACAATCGGGTTCCTGCAGCTTCTATGGGTAATAATTTCATATTCATATTGTTTTTTGTACTGAAGGTTTTTCCCCATTTTATTTGTATTATTGGTTTTATGTTTGATGTTACGATGTTGCAATGCCATCCAATTTTAAGCTTGTATTTTATTCGACTTTGTGATTTAAATTACTTGTCTTAGTTTATTCGTTGATACAAGCGTGCGCTTCATCAAGGACACTTTTATTAGGTTCAATGAAGTTATTCAAGCAGTGAGAAATCGCATTTCAGTTCTTTGAAAGCTCAAGTTGAATATAGATAAAAGCCAGATCTCCTACAATGTTTGGAGTTAGCAGTCGGAGCGCTCTGAATACCTTCAGAATTATCTTTCTTCTTTCCTTGCTAAGTTGCTACTAATCTTTGCTGGAGATCTTTCCTAACAAGGATCCGTAGACATCACCGTCGCCTTGTTGGAGCAGAACTCCCTTAGAATTTCAAGATTGTAGCCATCATCCAAGCATCAATGGTTAGCTTGATGATCATCTTTCGCTAAAAGTGCCAGTTATTTTCATGCATGTTGCAATTTTTTTGCACCATGGAATGAGCTTCTACCCTGAATTACATTATGAAAATTTTTAACACATCCATGGCGTATTGCATCATGTTTTATTGAAGTGCACAACATTCCAAGACGAAACAATCGGGTTCCTGCAGCTTCTATGGGTAATAATTTCATATTCATATTGTTTTTTGTACTGAAGGTTTTTCCCCATTTTATTTGTATTATTGGTTTTATGTTTGATGTTACGATGTTGCAATGCCATCCAATTTTAAGCTTGTATTTTATTCGACTTTGTGATTTAAATTACTTGTCTTAGTTTATTCGTTGATACAAGCGTGCGCTTCATCAAGGACACTTTTATTAGGTTCAATGAAGTTATTCAAGCAGTGAGAAATCGCATTTCAGTTCTTTGAAAGCTCAAGTTGAATATAGATAAAAGCCAGATCTCCTACAATGTTTGGAGTTAGCAGTCGGAGCGCTCTGAATACCTTCAGAATTATCTTTCTTCTTTCCTTGCTAAGTTGCTACTAATCTTTGCTGGAGATCTTTCCTAACAAGGATCCGTAGACATCACCGTCGCCTTGTTGGAGCAGAACTCCCTTAGAATTTCAAGATTGTAGCCATCATCCAAGCATCAATGGTTAGCTTGATGATCATCTTTCGCTAAAAATGCCAGTTATTTTCATGCATGTTGCAATTTTTTTGCACCATGGAATGAGCTTCTACCCTGAATTACATTAGTTTATTGGTAAATTATACCTGATTGAGACTGGTGTACCTATTAGTGAGTTGTGAACTTGTTTCGGGAATTTAATTCAGCTACATGATCCATTACATGATCCAGTCACCTACGGTGCCTTTAATTCAAGGATTAGCTTGTCGATACCAATCAAAGTGCATTCTGGGCCACTCTCTGTTTTGGTTCAACTCGATATATGTTGAAGCCAATACATATTTCTGAAAAGGCTTCACATTTATTTTTCAACTTTTATAAAAACGATTGAAGAAATAACACGTTAATATTTTATTGTTCTTTGGCGTTATTCTCTTTCGTCGTTCGTAATTTCACAAGCCGTTGTGCTCTGTGATAGTCTATTATATTGTGCAGTAGTTGCCAGGAAATGATTGCTGTCTGTGATAGTCTTTTATATTGTGCAATACCCGCCAGTGAGTGTTGCTTCATGTGATAGCCTGTAATGCTGTGCAGCAACAGCATGCGAGCGTTGTGCTGGTTCATGCATCGTCATGTAGCACATGATGTGCCCGCAATAGTTCAGCGTTTATAGCATGAGCCAGTCACCATTGTTTGACAAGTGAAGCATTGTATCTTGAATGCACTGGTCATGAATCAGGTTTCATCATTTATTCTAAATGAATAATTCGCTCAATTATGAAACGGTCGCGAAATCAATCCAAATGCAATTCGATCAACTGGAGCCAGGCAAGGGTTAATAACTGATTTGGCGTTAGAGATGCTGTTGAGTTGAATGCATATCCATATTAATATGTAATATTTCATTCGTTTATAACTAATGAGCTGAGTAATGCATCTTGTACACTGTGTACAATTAATTAAAAAAAATTGCCTATATTTCTTTCTAATCTGATTGATATGTTGAAATTTTTTATTGTAAGTTTTAAGGATACGGCTTATAATTTCAATTATATCGAGATTTAAAAAAAAAACTTTAAAAACCGGTCATGAATTTGGAATAAATTCCTTTATTCTTGCATTCATTTCATTAGACTCGAATTTGTGTTTGTTGATTAGTTAATCTTAGTCTTAAGTCTTTATCTCAAATTTCTCAAGCATCAAAACCTTAGTTGCCAGTGTATTTTCAGGAGCAGTGACTTGCAACAGTTCTGTTTTAAAACCTTGTGCGCGTTCGCTGCAGGTATTTGTGCCAGTAACAGGAAATGAATTATTTCCAGTCTCTTACTCGGATCTATCGTTATGTTTAAACCGTATCAAATTACGAAAATTACGTTCTGTTTATTAAATAAACCGTAACTTGTTTCGAAAATTTCACGAAACGACAGTTATGTCAAGAGAGGATCAAATGCTTCCAGTTTGGGTAAAATGTTTCTCATTTATATTCCAAACCACTTGTATTGAAAAATGTGTACAGCTTGCTTCTATTTTTGGGTCGAGGTATTGAATATTACTGCGTTCATAGTAACTTTAATGTACTCTCTTTTTTAGGCTTCAAGTAATCGATTGTTTATGTGATGCGAAATGAGCAATTATTCCAATTTTTATCCTCGTTCCTAGATTAAGTTATGTGTGCTGCACTGATGCTACTTAATTATTGTACTACCAGCTATTGTACGGTAATTGGTAACGTGTTTACATTTATGGCACAAACAATGACATGTTTTTGTGGTGGCACCAATTTTCTGTTAATGTGTGTCTTCTAATCATAGGAATTTTGTTTATTGAGTTGAATGTTGGAAAAATTAGAAGGCTCGCTAGTCTTTCTGTCAAACAAGTAACTTTTGGTTCATTATGATGTACAATAGTTCCCGTTATTCAAAGTTGGACTTGAATTAATGCCAACAATTTTTTCGCAGTCTTAATGCTGCTACTTCTGACAGCATTTTTGAAAACTTTTTCTTACAAAAAATATTCTAATTCTTTTTACATTCAGCAAATATCGATGGAATCGTTCACTGATTTTTGTCCTATGCCCACTTTATGAGTCATCATTCATAAGATGATGCATCTCTCTTGGACGAGTAAGATTTTTATAGTTTCTTCGTCTCATGTTCCTATGTATGAAGAGCGTTGACTACTAAAGCTGTTGAATAGTCGATCAAATTGGTGCAAAGCCAAGAATTTGTCATAGAAATTCTTTTTCTCTCGATTTTTTATGCGGATGTTTTTCAGGATTCCATTGTACTTGATGAGTTGCTAAATTAGCTTCATAACGTGCCTAGATAGAAATTCTAACCTTTTTTTCTAGTCGAAATGCACGAAACCTGTTTTATTCATCTTGTAGGTTCCGAAAATTGAACTCGTTTGAGGGCGTAATCGGTTGTTCAATAGCAATTTATTTTTAGATATTTCTTCCAGAAGTTTGCTGACTTTGTTTGCGAGAGGCAAAATCTATAAAACTTTTATCTATGCTCAATGAGATTCATTCGTAACTTTACAACATTGATAGCTATTGCTACATTCAAGTACTAAGGTTTAGAAAATTGTTGTTTGTTGTATCCTTCAGACTCTGTATATTCATTAGACTGTAGTTGTTTTAACATTTACACGAAATGGAAACTTTTTGAATACAACGACGCCTTTTTTATTCATCATTCCATGTTTTTTTACAGTAAACTCGGCATGTCTTTGCTCATTTTTTTATAAGCCTTTTAGAAAATTTCTATTACGTCAACAGATCTTCTCAGGCGTGTTTTCTCTGAAGGCCTCTGGAATGTGTATTGGTGTTCACTATACGTAGTATTTATCCTCAAGACCGGGCTTTATGGCACTTCGCATCTGACGGCGGTTTTCAGTGGTTTGAGTCAGCTGTCATGTACTTAGCAATTATCATTACCTTCCCTTTGTTGTCTTGACTGTTAGATCGGCTGATGATTAGAGCATTACCCATTCTCTTCGTTTCTCTTTTTATTCAGAATCCCGGATTTTAGCTTAAATACTCCTATCTGTATGTTTGTATGTTTGTATGTTTAACAAGTTTTTTTTTTTTTGTATGTTTAACAATTTTAACTCCTAAGTTACAGGTTAAATTCTATGTCTCGGAACTTTTAATGCAAGAGAGATTGTGTTAACATGGACTGTGAATTAGGGGCTTGGTCACCACAGTTAACACCCAAGTTGAAGATTTTATTAGGTCAACTGCTATGAAATTGGGGAGCGCAGCCGTTGACAACAAATTTAACATTTAAAAAAGTAATGTAGCCAACGCAAAGCATGAGCATGTACAGCTAAACGCGGCTTCAGTGCTTCGTTGCCGAAAAACTTGATAGAAATACCGTAACCGAAACCGCTTCCAGACATTGCGCCGAATGTCTGCAGCTACTGTTCAAAACTTCAAGTCAGTTTAGTATTAATGGAGACTACACCCCAGCATGCCAGAACGGCAGAACCTCTAGATTTGAGACTTGCAACAACTATCAACCTTGAGGCATATAATGACTGGCTCCAGTTAAACCCCCACTTGCCCCGCTCCTCCACCTTTCTGCCGTCAATGAGTTTATAATAGGTCGAAAAATGTTTGTTTAAGTGCAAATTTGGGGTAAATGTTGGGAGGAGCATGCTTTCGCACGTGAAGGTATACTATGAGCAAAACTGGCCACTAACATGCATCTCTGTAAAAGCAACACAAATTTGTGGATTATTTAAAAAATGTAACATACCTTTTAAATACTAAAATTTTTCCATTGGCAATCTTTATTTTCAAACACTGCGTAATAAACTAAGTAGCTTGAAAACTGTGTAATAAACTGCGGAGTACGGACCTAATCAAAATCCTACGGAAGGCGGCTGTAGCTGTCATGGTGAGTATTGGTAACGGCCCTGCTGCCCCTGCCCGCAGAGCACCAAGATTTTCGCAAAGAGGCGTGGGTTCGAGTTCGACCCCAGCTCTGTGCAACAGTTTCTGGTCAGAATCGGCAAGGAAGCCGGGCGGTTAATTAATCACAGAAGAATTTGAATCAGTGAGCTGTGAGCACTGAGTTGTTAGTTCGAGACCGCAAAAAGCTGTGGGCCTGTGGTTCTGCAATGTTAATAATCGGCGGCAGACCTATGGCGTAATAAACGCTGAAACGCTATTATTATAAACTTAGCGTCAGTCTTGCATGTCATGCCAAAGTTTGACCGACAAGACGGAAAACTGACGAGCGTCCAGCCGTCCACAGGGGTTTTAGTCAGTACCTTCAATTCAAACTTTCCTTCAGTCTTGTGCGCTTGCGGCAATGGAGAAGCTAGTGCTGACTGCTGCAGTGATCGCATTTTGTGCCACAAAATTAGGTTAAAGCGATGCAAACGTACGCGGTAGTCCCGGAAATGGTTTTAAAAATAGGCTAGGCTACCACAATGAGGTTTGATGATTATTAGATGATAGATAGCAATCACAGCTGCAGCCTGCACAGCATCCCTATTCCCTACTCCCTAGTCCCTACATTCCCTAGTATTCCCTACCAGGCAGGCAGGCACCAGCCAGCAGCTGCCAGGCTTCCAGCACCAAACAACATTGATGACTTCATTTGGCACATTCCTTTTGATGAAGAGTTTATTATTATTATTATTGTTTTATTATTATTATATTACAAAGTCTTTGCAGTTTGCAGTAGGATCAACTTCAAAATTAGTTTTTATGTGTCTAAAACCATCTCTTAACTTAATCATCTATTAATTTTTTTACCACTTGAAATTGGCAAGTACAAGTAGGTATACCTAAAGGATTCCTAATATATTTACAGACGTATTTAAAAGTCTCAAACCATAATATTCTTTCTACACAGTTTATCACTATTTGGTAGAGCAAGGTCAACTATCAACTTTGACACATATTTTGATGTTCTCACTGGGTGATGCGCACTGTCTCTCTCTAAAATCTCAACATTTTCCTGCCAGACGGCCCAGACCTAGTGTTTTGGCAATAGTATGGTGCGCAAAAGTATGATGTCACTATATCAACCATCAACAAATGCATGGAACTAAGAAAAAGCTTAATATAAAGGAAAAAAGTTGAGAAATGTTGGAATACCCACGATGTTGGAATATACCACGTTTACCCTAAGACTGACATAGTGATGAAAAGTTTGAGCGTGTGGACTGTGGAGGGGGCTTGAGTCTGTAAACCATCATATTTAGCCATGGTTTATGATGGTTGAACTATGTAGTAGACTAGTAGTAGTTCAACTGTTCAACCATGTCATGACTGTAAGCTGTGACTGCTGTGTAACTGTAAACAAGACTCTGACAGTGACAGGGTCCAGGACTCCAGGGAAGTGTGAAGTAACAATAACCAAAGCCCAAAGCAAATGAAGGGGCTTTCAACTGATAATGCTTTAAATGCAACTACAAACCTGAAACTAATTGTCATGTCCAGGTCACCAAGCGTGACAATTGACCTGTGTGAGGTCATTTGCTATACCTCAAAGGCTCAAAGAAGACATCATCATCTGATAGGCAACAGACTGGGAGGTGCTTTCACTGCTTTGGATGTTTGGAAACCACAAGTCTTAAAACCAATTATAAGAAAATGACAATCACCTACCTGTGTTTGGCAGTGGTCTGTGCCCATTTTAGAATTGATGAGGTTGCCAAGTTGCCAAGCCGGAATTACTTGTTAAATGATTAACTATCTTGATTAAATACATGTCTAAACTCTAAAGTTTATAAAACCACTTGGTACAATAGTACTTACCACCATATTATAAAATATTCAAAGATATTGGCAAAGCAGAGAATTTTTGAGATTCTTCCCTATTCCATGTACAGGATTGGAATTTTCCTACTTATTTCTGAAACCTTGCTCCTCCAAAGTGAAATTTTTTTTATACATTTGGAATCTTGCAGCCTGATGCCAATGGTGCACTTTTGTTAACATTTAGATAGGGCTCATAGGAGGTAATTCATCTGGCAGAAATCTTGCGGTGTTGGAAATGGAGGGAAAGCCCTAGTTTTGGCCCTAAAGGTAGATGTTTTCAACGCTTGTTCCCTGATAGTAATACTAATAGAGTCCTGTTGTTGGACCAGCAAACTGTGAAGTATCTGTGATAAGATACAATATTATTTTGCAAAGATAATGAATAAAATTCTTAACTAGATCCGGTAATCAGGGAATTGAAAATGAATTTAGTTCTAAAAGCTATCCAAGTTTATTGTTTACCACATCAGAGCCCTGGGCCAGGGCTCTGATGTGGTAAACAATAAACAGCCAGTTCACCCAGGGCCCCTGGCTGAACTGGCTCCCTTGCCCCTTACCTCCACTGAAAAACCACTTCACTGTCTTCAGATGACCAGGTCAGGAAATGTCCTACTTTTTTCTAAAATATCTCGGCTCTAATATATAGTTTCAGTAACCTGTAATCCCTGTATGTACCGTCAAATGGGGCAATAAGGGACAGGCAGGGTAAATTGGGACAATCATCTCACATTTTGTAGAAATGTAGCAGCTAAACTAATCAAAATATTGCAAAACTAAAAATAGTGGTGTTGGTTTAACATTTTTACTATCTATTTAGCATAAAGCTAATTAAGAAATCACACATTTACTGCCTCTAAAAAATCCCTGAAAAAAAATGTGAAAAGTGAGATTTTGGAAAAGTATGGTACCTCTGCTAAGGCCTGTAGCAAAAAAATATTCGCCAGATCAACAAATTTTACATACATAAAAGTAGCACACAGGTGTTGGCTTGAAAACCTGTTGGACAGAATTTGCGTAGCTCATTCCTCAAAAAATGGAAGACATTTCCATACAACAGGGTAATAAGGGACACTCCTAAAAATGCATTTACAGTAGAACCTTGCTTAGCAAAGGCTCCAGATAACAAAAAAATCAATAAACAATCAAGAATTTTGAATTAAATTTGCCTCATAATGCAAAAAATTTCACTTGACGAAAAATTAGTGCATCAACGGTCATCACAAAACTATACATAGAATGTCATAGATAGAATTGCGCACTGGGCAACATAGTATGAAAAGTAATTAACCTAAACTATGAATCATTTCTCCAAAAATATGATGGTTGTCACTAAAATATTTCTTTCTGTTTCAGGTATGTTTTTTATATTTTTATCATAGTGAATTCACTTGACTCTATTAAAATGGTGTAAAATTACAAGTCATCCTGCAAGCTTACAGATACAGAAGAAATGCTATATGGCCACTGATATGAGGCTTGCAGTGGACAAGATTGTTGTCAATGCTCCATGTCATGTCCATGGATACAATAATATATAAAGGAAAAATGGATCCAAATCACAGAAAACCATTTATTCCAAATCTACATCATCTACAAAGGAAGAGGAGGAATTTGGGGTATATATATACTGTTAGGAATGGATGAGTACACTCTGCATGCTTCAAATATTTTGAAATTAAGTTTCATTTCAAGTAGTATCAATTACCCCATTCCCAGGAGTATTTCGGGACCCTTTTATTTGTGTCTGGCACTTTACAAATAGCAAATGGAATTTTTTCAGAGATGCCATACAATAGCCCTTGCAAAGACCTTTAAATGAGCCCAAACTTGTTTATGAAATGTTTCATGGTAAGAGGTTATTAATGGAAATGCTCAAAAACATAACTTATTACCCTGTTTGATGGGTAGGTACTATCTATTTCTTGACTTCTGGATTCATCTGAACTTTGAGATAGTTTTCAGAGTGATTTTCTGGTTCAAAATTTTACTGTTGTATCCTATTTACTCTTATTATGTAATTATTTATTTCAATATTTAATGCATTTCAACCAAAATTTCAATATTTAATGCATCTTGTAACTTAAAAATGAATGTTTCTAGTATGCAAAACATTGTTAATAAACTAAAACTGCTTCCTGAAACATGCCTATTGATCCACCAACGTTGTCTGAAGAATTGTTTGATTCTCTGATAATTTAAATCAACTAATTCTCTGGTCATTAATGGCATGCATACAAACAAGCAAATTCTGCCATCTAATACTAATAAATATATGTATGGAGTAGTGTACTTACCCTGAGAAATGTCTTGCTCCAAAAATTATTGATTGAAAAATTATCAAAATTAACAGGAACACAAATGAATAATGAAATAACATTAAACTGGTTGTTTTAACTGATGTTTCTCTGGACAACACAACAGTCTACCTTGATTGATGTTAGTTTTATATCTTTACAGTTTGCCATGGCATTGTCTTCTCTAAGAAAGCCTCTCACAGCTTCTTCAAAATTGAGTGCTCATTACAGTGTCCTAATTGATCCTTCAAGTGTTTGGTCTCCTACAAATCATCACATGCTTCTCACAATACTACAACCTTTTCTTCCTCATCTCCATTGTCACACATTGTCAGAGGCACCAATCAATAAATTTTTAGATCATCTTTTGAGTAATAAAGAGCCTGAAATGAGAACATCTGTGCCATCAACGAGTGAGAAATCTTGTGTTAAGACAAAAAGCCTGAATGGAAGTATCCCAAAAAAAGAAAAGTTTATTTTAAAAGAAAGAAACATCAGGCCATCAACATATATCCCTAAAAAAGATAACACTGTGCAAATGTTAATGTTGAAAGGTAGACATGAAGAAGTTTTGAAATTTTTGGCTAGTGAAACAAATTTATCTAAATATTCCTTTGATTTTGAAACTGTTGACAAACTTTGCTATATTGCTTCACTTCAAGGTTCTGTTGGACTTGTGAAGAAAATCTTGAAAAATGCATTTACAAATTTTTACAAACCTACGAGACAACTCTATGCCCTTCAATCTCACCTGGCAACAGCAGAATTTCATGCAGGAAATCATATTGAGAGCCTTGATTTATTATCAGATCTGCACAATGCGAAAGAAATTAGCAGTAAATATCTCCATATAAATTCTCCTTATTCAGAAACACTTTCATACCCTCAACTCATTTCCCTCATTACTTCTGAAATCTATCCACTGAGAAATGTGACTCTTTCAATCCTGCAACTTGTACCTGAAGTGCAACAAGACTCTGTTTGGAATAAGGTGAGTAGTTCATTCATTTTTTGCATTAATAATTTGAAATTGTCATACAATACTGCAATTTTTAATGCAAGACTCAACACAATTAATGTTGGGACTATACATATTTTTCTGTAAAATTTTCTTTCAGGCTGAAGACTTGGTAAAGGACATAAACAAACTCCATGGATTTTCTCTTCCTGCATTTACACTTTGGAAAGGTTACTTTTTCTCTCCATTACAACCTGAGGTTAGTGATATGTTTTAATTGGTTGTTTTACAATGGCCAGCCATTATGAATTACCGTATCTGGGTTTAAGAATACCGTCTAAATAAATGAAAGTTTGGGTTAAAATTTGACCATTTGATAGTCATTTAGTAGGCAGTGCCTAAATTTTTGCTACTTTTGTCAGTAGAATTCTGGAATGTTTTTTTTTTATTCATCAGAAATTTAAATTTTTTCAAACTCCATCTTTTTTTGTAGATTGTGTTCATTTCAAAGGTTTTAAACAATTTAGAAGCTGGTTCCCTATTTCAGAGTTTAATCACTTCTGTTGGGTATTTGCCCTTCAGTTCACTAGGGCAGATTCTCTCTATGAACTGGTGGGTGTTCAGCGCCTGGCTATGAGAGAGCTACGTTGTATAGCAACGCTGCTTTTGAAGCACCACAACATTGCTCAAGTTGAACACTTCCTTCAGCTTCTTTTGAAGTATGAGCAGCAATCTGCTCTATCTCCCATCTCATGTCTTCTTCTCTCCATGCAATGTGAGGCCACTTGTAAACCTTCTTCCAATTAAGCGACAAAATATAGCGACAAAATATTTATTTTGTAAGAGTAATTTATTATCTATTTACAGTTAGATTACAGTTTTATTTCTGCTCCATACTATTGATGGGTGTCAAGACTTCTTCACAAATTACCCTAATAAGCAATTAGTAGGTCATCAAACAAGTTATATATATATATATGCACATATATGTATGAAGCTTATTTTAAATTCAGGTTCAGAGGTTTAGAGTATTAAATAAATTTAGCCTATTGTTGCAGGCAATGAAGGCAATTGGAGAGCAGCATTGGAGGTCCTACACTTCGCCACAAGCCTCAAGTTGATGTTGTCCTACAACTCACTGATGCGCCTGCAGCAGCTCCTGCATCAACGGCGTGTGCCAATCCCTGAACAGCTCATGCACCTCAAGGCAGCTTGTAGTGTTACCCAATCAGCCACCCGAAATAGTGCCAAGAAACCCCCAATACATTATGACTTTTAGGCCTTGCATATCGCAATTTAGGTTGTCCTAGTGATAGACCAACAACAGTATTTCTGTTGAGAATTATTGCAGTGCATAAAATTTACTGCATTCTGCTGTTTTTATCTGTTGTCAAACTACAATGATTAACTATGCTAAAATTGCAAGTTTTCATTACAATCATTCACCCATTATGTGGAGCAGAGAGTCAACTGGCCAATTTTTTCATTCAAACTGCAACTGACTGTCTGACTCTAAACTGAAATTAAAATTGTTGAGAGCCTGAATCAACATCTTGCTTTGCAATGTATCCATGTGCATGTTTTTCTCAAGTTGGTTATGTATCTTTTGATGTACGTAACACCACTTTAGAAGAAATTCTCTCTGCTTTACTTCTCGTAATAAAGGCAGAACAAAGTAATGCGTTTTTAATGAGGCTGTGGTCAAAATCATTGAGAAAAAATCTCAAATGGTGTGTGTTTGACATTTTAAATCTTGTCTTACTCCACATTCTGTCATACCGTATCTTTGCTATATTTAAAACTAGGTAGACAGTTTGTCAACTGCCTTGGCTATGAGCTCACTGAGTGTACTTGCCTCTTATTTCATTATTCTTACCACATGTTTCTTGAGAACCATACTGGCTGTGAGATATTTAAATTAACCTCTTTGTTTGTACGACTTCAGATGTTTCCATCGTTTTATAACTATGTAAGAGCATTTCCTGATGTAAATATTATGTGAAAGGAATTTCCAACGCTGTTTGAATATACATTTTCACGAGTATCTCTTGTCTGTAACCATGAACGACATTGGATTTGATATGTCATATGTACTGCAAGTATTGACCTCTAAACCATTTAGTTTGTTCCTATTTCTGGGATATCCTTTACCTAATCACTTGATTATGTTCTAATGTTGTATAGCAGTTAAAATTTGAACTTGCCGACAGAACCTTGATTTCATTTGCATCTTGACTTCATTCTGCGTGTTTTTTATGGGGTAGGTGATGTGGCAATTACGGCTCAGATGCATGGCACAGACGTTGCATCTTTGGTGTGCAATTTGTGAAGTTTGAATTTGTTGTTTTTGTCATAGATGCTGGTTCATAAGAACAGTATACAGTGATAGATAGCTTACGGCCCGCGTGCGTTGTCTCAGGCCCGCGTGCGTTGTCTCAGGCCCGCATTCAGAAATGATGGGGCCGACACAAGGTGGTATCACACTGATGTCAACACAAGGCCTCTATTTAGCGCATTTTCTCATTTATGGAAAAAATGCACTATTGTGCTCGCCATGTCCGTCCGTCTGTCTGTCCGTCCGTGACCTCAAGTTTTCGTCGACGAGAAAATGCGCTCTCTGTCACTCACTGCAGTGAGTACTGAGTTATATTTTTTTCCCCTTGCCACACTTACATCTTCTTCGAAGTAAAACTTGTTATTTGACCTTCTCTCTGGCCGTAATGCAGTTGGATATCTCATCCTTTATTCATAATTCAAAAGAACTTGCATTAGGAGTTCTTGGGAGTTGAATTGTACCTACCGAATAACAGTCGTATTCTGTTCACCTATTGCCTGTGTAATTCGGTTATGTAACCGAAACGCCTGAGCACACAAAGTTTGTACATCACTGAGTTCCATATCAAAGCCATGGAAATAAATACTTGTCTGTTAATTTGATGCAGTTTTTAAGTTAAACATTCTGAATTTATTTATGTAAATGTGAACTTATTCATTAGAATGAAATATTTACATTCCTTTTGGATTTTAGTCTTTACTTTTCTTCTGGGCGATGACACTCGTTAAAAAGGATTTATTTATCTCTGTATTTAATTGCATTTTTTCAACTGTCTTACAGATTTGGGGCAGAATTTTCATGTTGCACCATTGTGATTTTGAGGCTTTTGTTGGAGATGTTGCTCTCATAGCGAACCCTAACCTTCGATGCATCTTTAATGAGCTTGCCTGATATAGATATCATTATACCGCATTCCTGTGATATATGACCAATTTTGAAGCATGAAGTGCGCCATCACTGGAGTCAACATTAAAGGTAATTGTCATCACACTTACTTTATCAGTGAAGCAAATGGCAAGCTTTATTTGTCTTTGCAAATCATTCGTTTTATGTCAGGTCTATTTTAATTCATGAAGTGAAGTGTGGAAGACGTAATGTGGCGTACCTTTAATGCTCCATTGTGACACGTGTGCCTTCCTTTCTTTATTGGAAGCTAAAGCTCTGTTTTTTTTTCTTTTCTGCAGTCTTTGCAAGATCTATCCACTCACTTGCCCGCATAGGAGATGAACTGCACGTAGAGCCGAGGGTTGATGGTAAGTACGCTACATTGACTCAATGATGACTTGCATTGTCTTCCTCCACAATATTGGTGATGTTGTTTATTTCTCCCAGTGTTACTTTTCAACTACATGTAATTGTGTCTTGTACTCCATCTGATCTATTGATTCTCATTTGTTTATGGGAAGTAGTATACTCAAAAATATTTGAGAGAAAATATTGTCCTGTGCATACATATCATTTTAGTATAAGATGGCAGAATATGTTCCTCTTTGCAGGAGTCTCGTTCTGCACTGTCAATTCTTCGCGGTCAGCATTTGCCTCATTCTTGTATGGCGAGAGTTTCTTCAGTCAATACGAGAGTGGAGTGGATGCCCCCAGTGGGAGCTGTTCCCAATCAAGCTCACTGCAGAGTGACGCTCAGGCTGTCAAGTGCAAAGTCGCCATGAAGGCTTTCTTAGGAGCCTTCAAGTCCCTGTCAAATGTCGAGAAATCTGTTGAACGCTGCAAAATAATGGTTGATGAAGCGTGTTCCAAATTGCTTGTACAGCTTGTGTGCCGCTACTCAGTTGTTCGTAATTATCACTTACCCTTCATTGAATGTGAAACGCTCGCAGCTGTTTACGATGAATCAAGCTGTCCTTACACTGTCACTTCCCCTTCTCGTCTGCTTAGTGACGTGCTAGTCAATTTCCAGCCGGGGCAAGATGAAGTCAGCTTCAAAGTCACGCCAACTTCTGCTTCTATGAGAAATTATGTTGACGATGAGCCCGATTTGACCAAAGTTATAAGAACTGAACTACAACTGGAAAACGACGAATTTGACTCTTTTAATATCGCGTCAGACGGTGAAGTTGTGTTTAATCTCAAGGAGTTGAGGGCCATTCTCAGTTTTTCTGAACCCTGCAACCTTCCCGTCAAGGCCTGCTTCTCTCAACCTGGCAGGTGAGTTACCTTTAGTCTGGCGTGTCCTACTCGCAGTATATAGTTCGTGTGACTTGATTTAGTGCCTTTGCGTTTGTGAATAAATTATTAGTGTTTGGTGATCCTCACAGAAACCAGCATGATAATGATATGATAAAAGGTAATAGCGTAGTACTTGTATATCTTGCTTATATGTCGTGCACATGTCTACGATAATAATGTCACTCCCTTACCCACATCACAGCCCGGTGATCTTCGGCGTAGAGAACAAGCCGCTTTTCGAGTGCAAGTTCGTACTTGCCACGCTTATACCGACGTCAGTTGCAGAATCTCAGGCCGGCACAGCCAACGGGGCATCATTAAACACTACAATAAATAATGCTTCCACGGCTCTGAAAGAAAAGAAGACTCGTGCCGACGGCAAGCATCACGTGGTTGAGCATCATCAGCCGGAAATGCCCCATGAACTCGATGCTTTTGATCCTTGTGTACCTGATAACTCTAATCTTGGTTTAAATTCCTGTCACCAGCCACCCAGAAAAGAACCTGGCTCAGAGAGTGACGATATACCTCTCATGGCTCGGTCCATTAGAGCGCTTGAAAATGTAAAAAGCACTGAAGGCTACAATCGACATTCTACAGCTGAGCGCCAACCTGCGAACGGCTCCACGCCTTCCTGCCAAGCTCAATCTCCTGCTCGTAATTCGCTACTGCGACGTCATGTAGAAGAGTCTGATATGGCTGTCCTGTGCGACGGTGTCAGTGTTGACCGCACACGCTCGCCTCTGAGGGATGTCGCCGAGGAGATTCGGGACTTGGGAGCAATTGATGATCAGTTAGTCATGCCCAATGATGTTCCACCTGAAGCGCACTCACCTCCTCTTAAGAAAAAACGTAAGCACTTCCTTTTCTATCGCTGTTTCAACTCCACGTACAATCCCGCAGAGGCAACTTTGCGCAGCGATGTCCTGGCACCTGACTCTGACCCAGAAGATTGATAAGTAACTGTATTAACGTTTTTTGTTTCCGATAGGACTTGTAATAAATGTATATTTTTTGTTACATTACAAGACTTCGAAAGTCATCCAACTATGGAAAAAACGGAGAGGAAAAGTATCACGTTATGCATAAGCCATAAACTACAAGTACATTAACTCGCACAGGCCAAAGTTTCTAACGGGCGCAGCTTTTTGAATCTTATGTTGTTTAAGATAAATTGAACTCTAGCACAGGGAGTTTTAATTCATTCCTGGCCGACGTGTCAGCCCACCCTAGGAAACCTGCATGCTCGGCGACATGTTTATGGCACGTCACCTTCACCCTCGTGCGCCTTTCTGATTTCCAACCATTACGTCTTGGCTTGTTTTCCGTTACATTGAATAAAATCTATATCTTCTGTTGCAGGCAATAATTAATGAATACAATGATAGAATTTTATTGGGTTAAAACATTTTTCTTCGTTAAATGGAAGGCTGACTTGGGTTAATACTCGGACTCTTATTAACGTTTTTATTCGAAGTTATTATACGCCAAGTCCATTTCGCGAAATGATTAGGTTTATGGCCCGTGTAAGAAATATGCCCGTTTCTCAAATCTTGAATGAAAATTAGTGCAAGGCTAGCTAGGAAATGGTTAAGTTTAAGGTACATTATTTTCAACAGTTCATCACATCACAGAGAGCTTAGGCTTCGGCTAAGTTTATATATAAAACATTTCCATCTATACAAATAATTGCCCATATAAAACGACATTAATATCTTATATCTAAGAAAAATGTTCTTACATATATAAAAATCACATAGAATTAACAGGAGTACAAAAAGGAACAGCTATGAATCTACGTATTTATACCGAATGCTATTATGGCCGTGAATTTCATCATGGCGTGCTTTGCATCATGTATTCATTGGCACGCGTGTGAGGAAGCTACAAGAAATGCTGGCCAAAAAGGTCTAGGTACCCGTTATTCTTCATAATTGAACGCTCATGTCATTGTCGAGTTACGGCATTCACTCTTTTGCAAGCAAGTACAGTGCACACATGTTTCTTCTACACTTCAGCTTTGGTATAACAAAAAATAATAGTACAAATAAAAATTGTATCTTTTTGCTTCTGAGGTAAAACCTTTAGAATTACTGGAATGTTTTGTTGTCTCCCAATTGAATGCTCACGAAATAATGACCAACAGGCATCCACAAATCAATTTATATAATCAACTCAACAAGCAGCTTCACGTCCTTTCTGTGTTCGAAATATATAAAAGGAACAATTAATCATAAATAGAATGAAATAAATATCTTAGAAAAATGGATTAAATCAAACTTTGGCGGAGTTCCTTGGCAGCGACTTAGCTCCTCCAGTCCCTTGTAATGCCACGAGCTGCTAAGTTGAAGGAACTCTACTTCATCTCGGCTGCTTGTGGGCAGAGTCTCCCTGCTCGGCCTGAACCACCAGCACGCTAGGGGAAGTCTTCGTGGCAGGAGCATCCACGGGTTTACTATGGCATGTTCCATTGCAAGCCTCCGAGGACTCAGTTGCATGACAGTCCTTACCTTCGCTGTCAGCCATCTTTTTTCTCCTGAAATTTAAATGTTGTATTAGATTTTCGAATATTTAATAGACGGTTTTCAATTCTAAGAGCAAGTACATATGAACGTAATCCACAGTCATTTACTTCATTCGAGAAGAAAAAAATCACATTGTCCAATTATGCTAGAATACTTAAAAAATACATGAGATGAGGAACATTCAAGCAAGAGGTAAAAAATTGATGGCAGTAGAAGCATTGAGCAAGAACTGACGGTAGAAGGCGACGCTGGTACAAGAGCTCCATGACATCCACGCCAGCGCTGTTCAGCACACAAGGTGTGATGAGTTCGCCTTCAGGAGAGCGCTGAAGCGGCGGCAGTAGATCACTGATGCTCGAGTAGCCCTGAGAACAATTGTACAGCAACTTATTGGTGCGCCACGAGTGGGCGGCGGGCAAGAGGATTGATGATACAAGCCATGATTGATGGCCGCGCTCAGCCACGGCCATAACGGCGAAAGTTAACGTATGCCCTGCTACATCAGATCACCTAGCACGGATATACGTTTGAAGGTTAATCTTCATAACTAAATGTCAAATTCTTACTGCTAGTCTTAAAATGATAAAATTATTAATTTACAAGTTTTACATTAGTGTACATGAATGTTTTGGAAAGTGAAACCTCAAAAATGCAATCGAATATAAACCACAGATAACCGAGAAAATAAATTAGTTAAATGAACAAATGGTTTAACAGCGCTCGCTCAGTTATTGAAGTATCTCGACGGGAAATATAGCATGAACATCACGATCGAGGTATAAGGACTCGATTTTAATAAATTTTTCATATTATGACCCACAAGAGGCGGAAGGTATAGTGAACAGGCCGCTGAAGCTGGCGAAAGAGAAGCAGAGTTAGCATTTCAAAGAAACGAGTAGGTAACAAGGAGGGACAAGTGAACAACAACAAAAAAGAAGATCAAGAGGGCTCTTGCAGGAGAGAGACAGGGTACATAAATGCTATTAATCCTGCCAACTTAACAACTGAGACCCACAGCCAGGTGTCCCAAGCTCAGACCGAGTCAACTTTGTGCCTCAGTAGCCGAGCCAGGCAAGGCAGGAAATCGTCGACGGAGTCGTAGCCTGCATGAAAATTAGTTGATAAATATTTGCAAGTACGAGTATTAGTTGACGAGTATTATTAGTATTGGTCCATCACAAAATATCAATGACGAGTATTAGTAGACATAGTGACCGATTTTCCAAGGACTTATTGTTGCTACGAATGTCAGCACTATGCTCATCATCAGGGAAATATAACATATTCTAGTAAGTCTAACAACTATCCTAGGCTATTCACCTGTTGTGAAAGGATCACTGAATTTGGAGTTGCTTAACTAATCGCACGCTCATGATAACACGGGTGATTCGGTAGGAAAGATGTAATGATGAAGCATAAATTCTTATCAAAACAATAACTCGGTAACATTTGTTAACAATCCTTCATATCTCGTTTCGACTCGCGATAAAGCAATTATGTGAATATAATAAATCTCATCTTCTCACGGTTACAGCAGGATGAGACAAACTTTATTTAATAACTCAATAACAAGCATGATATTTCCGAGCTAAAATGGTTGAAATTTGAAAAGATAACGCTTTGTAAATGTAGCAAGCACAAGAATGTTAGCAAAGCTGACCAACATCACGTGTTATGATTACGTCTCACTAGGAAAAGGGTTGACGTCGATGATGGCGTAGTGGCCGGATTGGCTGTCGATGACCACGTCAATGCCCAGCAGGTCCATGTTCAAACTTTTCCCCACCACGTCAACAATCCTGTAGTTTAGTTTTGAAGCAATTTTAGCGATATCATAACCCTCTCGTGTATACTGTAGTCACCTCAACCAAAACAAAAACTTTCAATGAATATCAATTGGAATTTATATTCGTCAACATTCAGTTGGCTGATGTTGACGAATATAAATATAGATATTTTAATAAAATTAGATTTTAAAATGATAGCATAGTTGGAAAGAATACATTCATCCCAGAAAGAAGTGCTGTTTACGGTTACGTATATAAACAAGCCTGAGACTGAGGTGCTTTTCACAGCTGAAAACAGTTTCTGCATAGAGCTTGCTAATGAGCAGTTATCAATGAACAATGCAAGTGAAATAGCGTTCGTCTTTCATTTAAAAGTATCATCAATTAGCGTTGCTTGGGCTTCAACGACATTTCAAGTACACTGGTATATTAAGAGACAACCTTTCTGCACTATTTTCAAAATCGCTCGTATCTTGAGGAGTGGACTTATACGAACACAAGTCATAGCAATAATAGCCGCAACTTATTGAGAGTGCAACAAACGCAATTCAATGTAGTAACCAGACCAAGGGAAGCTGTTCATTTTCATTGTGCAGCAAGCTTACAGTGGCGGAAATAGCTATACGACCACCCGGTTTTATTTAAACATTTTCTCTTGCATAAAAAATACTGAATTCTAATTATACGAGGTTAAAGTACGTTTAAAAACGGTTCCAACGCTATACGAAAAAAAAATAATTTTTTCCAAATATATGAGAAGAAATGATGAAATTTAGAAACAACCTGGGTGGAAATGGTTTTAAGACCAATGAAGGTTTTCCCATTTTTGGATCCCATACACTCGTTTTACTAGGCAATCTTACCTTCTTTCGCCTTAATTACCTCAATGAATCTTCTCCCCATGCAATTTACCTAATTATCCAGAGTCTTTTGAGGAATTTTATCCCAGAAACGAAGGTTAGCCGTGCTCAGGTCACTCACAGATTGGAACTGGCGCTCAATTTGGTAAACATCCCTCGTCATGATGCCCCATAGGTTTTCAATGGGGTTGAGGTCAGGACTAAGCTCTGGCCAAGCCAACAGGGTAAAATTCTGCTCTGGAACCACTTGTTTGCTGATTTTGAAGTATGAATCGAAGTATTATCTTGCTGGAAAACATATGATCCCTCATATTTCTAATCGGCAAAAGGGAGAAGATGGTGAAATAGCGTGTGCTATGCCTCGGAATCTTGTCTCGCTTGTAAAATAGCTAGAGTTGATTTTACCTTTCGGATTTTACCTAAACGCATCCCAAACCATGACCGAACCAACACCAGATTGCCGCTTGGAAAAGAATTCTGGCTCACGGTCCAGGTGTTGCCAATAGCATTGCCATCCATCTGGACCATCAAGAGTGAACTTTTTTCATCACTGAAGATAATCTCTCATCGATAAGCAAATTTCTTTCAGCAAGTTTTAGGAGGTTGATAATATGCTTTTGTTTGAACATAGGGGCATTTTACCGCTTCATTTACTTGAATTTCTTCGAGTCATGCAATGTCTGACTGATGCATCGAAGTCTGCCTTCGCAACATCAAAGTGAATGGCCAATGTTATAAAAGTAGAGGTAGCGCCAGCTTTAGAAGCCTCTGGAAACAGTCGCCTAAGATCCCTGTCGGTTAATTTTGGGGTTGGTCCAGCGTGCATTTTTGATCCGTAAACGTCCGATTAGAAAAAAATTATTGTAAAACGATTTTTGCGCGTTTTATTTCCTTTGCAATGTCCCATTGGCTTCTGCCGCATTTCGCAAAGACCAAAATCTGCGCCTTCTCGGCCTCTGTGAGTCTCGTCTCCTTTGGCATCTTTTTTACTTTGAAAAAATATAAATGAGGACACTGAACTACACCAAAAGTACCCTAAATGGCAAAAATCAGGATATTCTTTATGTTGGTGTACTGTAATTATAAAAAATAATGATCAGCCGTGAGCAATAAATTCTCGAACATAGTTCCTTCTTCTTACATTCCAACTAGTGCTAACAACGCCCGACAGGATAGAAGTCTAAGAACAAAGGTAATATTATTGGAGCGCATGAAGAAAAGAAGTGAATGGCCAATGTTATAAAAGTAGAGGTAGCGCCAGCTTTAGAGGCCTCTGGAAACAGTCGCCTAAGATCCCTGTCGGTTAATTTTGGGGTTGGTCCAGCGTTCATTTTTGATCCGTAAACGTCCAATTAGCAAAAAATTATTGTACGAAGATTTTTGAGCATTTTATTTCCTTTGCAATGTCCCGTTGGCTTCTACCGCATTTCGCAAAGACCAAAATCTGCGCCTTTTCGGCCTATGCGAGTCTTGTCTCCTTTGGAATCTTTTTTACTTTGAAAAAATATAAATGAGGACACTGAACTACAACAGAAGTAAACCAGAAGTACCCTAAATGGTGAAAATCAGGATATTCTTTATGTTGCTGTACTTTTTTATGTGAAAATATCAAGGAAAGATACTAAAATGTAGAAAAACATTCCTTGGTCCTATAGCCATATTACTTAGGTTTTTCTAAATTTCACCATTACTACTCATATATTTTGAAAAAAAAATTTTTCGTATAGCGTTGGAACCGTTTTTAAACGTAGTTTAGACTTTAGCCTCGTATAATTAGAATCCAGTATTTTTTATCCAACAACAATTATTCGGAAAAAAAACGGGTGGTCGTATAGCCATTTCCGCCACTGTATTACTTCTTTAAAAAAAACAGTAGTTCTTGAGTGCACACCTCTTGTGTTTTGTGAAGACCACAAATTATAAAAGATATTGGTCAGCCGTGAGCAATAAATCCTCGAACATAGTTCCTTCTTCTTACATTCCAACTAGTGCTAACAACGACCGACAGGATAGAAGTTTAAGAAGAAAGGTAATATTATTGGACCGAATGAAGAAAAGAAGCAATGCTCACTCCTGCAGGACTCCAGGAAGCGGCTCAGGCACGACGGTGTGACGGTCGTTCTTATCGAGCTGCGTGAGGGTGGAGCAGGAGCCTGCCTTCGAGACCTTCGCCGAGTTGAAGTGCACCGTAGGGGCGTCTGTGCATGAAATATATAATTAAAATTCTACTATTGTGCACGAAATACATAATTAAAGTTCTACTAAAGCTCAAATTCTCAGCCTGTAGAATAATTTATAAGAAAGAATCGCCGTGGCTAGGGCAGGGAAATATTTTTACGAATTGTGTCTTGCCTATGACGAACGGAGAATATGCTGGATTAATTAAATACTATTCTTTATTATGTCTATGTTTGAAAGAGAAGGTGGACTCTGAACACCTGATGAACGGCCTACAACGGACTGATGCTAACATCAGCAAAGTTGTTGGTTTCAGGCATTACGAGTCAACATACATCAGAGAACCTTTTCACCCTTTCTAAACGCCATCAAGTCGTAATTTACTTCACTGCATTGTGTGGGCAATCCCTGTACAATACTTTGAAGATTCTGAAAATAAGTGTTTATTTCCAGTAGTATTAGATGTGAGCAATCCAAAAACAATACTTTAAATATCCTAAAATTGAGTGTTTATCCCAAGTATTAGTTGACCTGTTGCCTTGAAGTTCTTGAGTGAAGGCCGCACCACGAGATGCCAGACGCTGCCGAGTACGTAGAGCTTGTAGAGCACCGCGCCGTGTGGCACGAACGACTGCGCCACGCACGGCCCCTGCCACTCCTGTAGGCGACGCTCGCTCAGCACCACCGCCAGCTGCCATGCATTAAAAATTTAAATTTGGCTTATGTTGACGAAAATAAATAAAGATATTTTAATAAATTTAGATTTTAAAATGTTAGCATAGTTGAAAAAATGCATTCATCCCCGAAAAAAGTGCTTTAGCTGCAATGCCGAAAGAAGAAGTGAAGAAGAAATGCCGAAAGCTGCAATGATCATGCATTAATTATATTGCTGATGAACATCCCACAAATACGGGATTATTCATTTTAAAGAAATCCAGTCGGAATGTTATTAACGGGTATCTGCATTTAACGGGTAAAAATACCATCCTAGGTTGCTTTTACGCCAAACGTACAGCACATACTATGCCAACTTATACTTACGATAACACAGAAGACATGTGGCAACTTTTACCCACTCTAGTATTACAGTGTATACCATGCAAACTTGTAAACATTCATCACATATACTTCATGTCATAAGCTACGTTCAAAGTAATAAGTGTACAAGCTATCCGAAATACTTATAATAAATTCAACCTGAAATGAACTATACCTACTAATTAAATGTTGGCCAAGTACCAATTAACCTATAAGAGAATTGAAATAGCCTACTGAGAAAAGAAGATGGTAAGCAAATAAAATAAAGTCAGGCTAGTAAATATCTAGCATATGTACACAGAGGTGGGCAGTAGCGCGCTACATGTAGCGGCCGCTACTAGCGGCCGCTACATTTTCAGTAGCGGTAGCGGTAGCGGCTCTACATCTGTCTCTTATACACATCTAGATGTGTATAAGAGACAGGGCCGGCACAGCCAACGGGGCATCATTAAACACTACAATAAATAATGCTTCCACGGCTCTGAAAGAANGAAGATGGTAAGCAAATAAAATAAAGTCAGGCTAGTAAATATCTAGCATATGTACATTAGCACATCAACACTGGGATATATATGGAAGGAGAGCGTGCAGGTGCTATGACAATCAGCGTCACTGTACGAGCTGTACATGTGACTGATCAAAGAGCCGCTAATGAGGCAAGCTAAGACCTGGGGCCATACTTTCAAAACTTGCTAGTAAGTGAACGTAAGTACTTACGCTCCATTTTCTTGTCTATGATTGGTGGATTTTGTTTGAAAGGTCGTCAATGATTGGCCGATGAGCTGACGATCTCTTAAATTTTTTTTGAAAGTATAGGCCCTGGTCTGGCTTGCTCCTCGAATGAATGGAATATGAACAAATGCACTCAATGTTCGCCATTAGGCAGTACCCAACACTTAGCACATGATTCATATTGCAATTATTGTGAACGCTGTTAATGAAAAAATACATGATAAAATAAAATGTACATTATAAAATAGTACATTTGAAGTAAATCCTCAATTAAGAAGTATAGAAACAAATCAGAACAGACCTCGTGAGCTGCAGTTCCGCCGCAGCCAAACACAGGTTTGCAAACTGTTGGTCAGAAATAACTATAAAATTGCTGGACGACATTTGGCGCCGTTTTACAGATGTTTGAAATTTGACACGCATAATGGTTTTGATCAAAATTATGTTAATTGTCACAGGTAAATATTCGCACGGACTACATAAAATATTTTCAATAAACTAAAATTTAAATCAATAATTACCCATCTAAGAGAGATTCTTTTGCCATTTAAGTAACAATCATGACAGTCGCATTCAAGACCGTCGCAAAACAAAGCACATTCAAGAAGCTGCATTTATTTTCTCGTACTAATTGCATGTGTCAGTACAGTAGCATACGGTTAGGTGAACTCACCAATAGGAAAACTTACACCAGACCTCGCCAGCAACGCCCTCTTGGTCTCGATGTCAGTGTCAGGGAGCTCCACATACGGTGGAGTTGTGATATTCTCTGCAAAATTCAGTTCAGTTTAGGAAAAATCAACAGCAAAATTCAGTTCAGTTTAGGAAAAATTAACAGCAAAATTCAGTTCAGTTTAGGAAAAATCAACAAGCTCTCGAGCCGCTTAGGTTGAAAAGCACAGCAGAAAATCATTCTTTGATAAAGATCAAGAATAATTATTGTGAAAAAATTATACAGAGGTACCAACGTTTATGTCCCAACAAATTTTTATTTAATAAATAACAGAGTTAGCGACATTAAGATTAAACAATTGTATGAGAATTTCTCATTGAATTTAGCTCAATTGAGGATTATTAACTTAAAGTTGATAGTCAACTACTATGATTCAAGTTGGATTACAATTTCACAATGTCGAATTACCAGTAACATAACATTTATTCTAATGCATTGTATCACTTTACTTGTAGACCTATTTCCATTTAATTTTGCAATTGCGCAACAAGCATAGCATAATAAATTCACCAGAAGTTGTGTCATCACACTACACCAACAGCAGCCAATAGATTACTAACAGCATGACGATAGTTCACTAACAGCGTTACAACAGTTTTTTAACAATGCAACATTAGTTCACTAACAGCCTGACAACCATTCAATATTAGCCCAACACCAGTTAAGTGACAGCCTGACAATAGTTCATCAATAAGCTTTGATTGGATCATTATTAATGTAGGTACCGAGGTGACGCGTGATGGCCTCGAGCAGTGCATAGGTAGCGGGACGGTGCAGCAGCGTATGCACGCCAGGCAGGGGGACAACAGCTCACAAACAGCGTGACAACAGCTCACTAACAGCATGACAACAGCTCACTAACAGTGTGACAACAGCTCACTAACAGCATGACAACAGCTCACTAACAGCATGACAACAGCTCACTAACACCGTGACAACAGCTCACAAACATCGTGACAACAGCTCACTAACAGTGTGACAATAGTTAACTAACAACATGACAATAGTTTACTAACAGTGTGATAATAGTTCTCTAACAGCATGACAATAGTTCACTAACAGCATGATAATAGTACACTAAAAGCATGATAATAGTTCAATAACAGCGTGGCAATAGTTCACTAACAGCATGACAACAGTTGGTTAACAATGCAAGAGTAGTTCACTAACAGCATTACAACAGTTTTTTAACAATGCAACATTAGTTCACTAACAGCCTGATAACCATTCAATATTAGCCCAACAACAGTTCAGTGACAGCCTGACATTATTAATGTAGGTACCGAGGTGACGCGTGATGGCCTCGAGCAGTGCATAGGTAGCGGGACGGTGCAGCAGCGTATGCACGCCAGGCAGGGGGTCCAGAACAGGCACGTTCCAGAGACTCGCCACGCCACTCTCAAAACGCTCAGCTTGTACTCTTGCCTGCAATATTTGTCCGAAGTTTATATCATTGAGATATTGTAATGGCATATCTTGTATCAAATTCTGTAACACTCATTTTGATACTAGTATGTTGAGAGATACTCCAGATACTGCATGTTTCTATTTGAACACCCACCTCCATGTCCCCACACAAAGCCTGGGCATACATGGCTGTCATCTTGTGCAGAATGGCATCAAATGGACCTTGATCCTCAAGAGGTTGGTCCAAGTCCAGCTGAAAATGAGTTGAACTTGTTGAAATATTTGGTTTTTATGTGAATTTATATAAGAATTTTCACATGAAAATATTTTGTTAAGCAGCTCCAGCAAAAAAAATTCAGTTGCAAGAAGTTAACAAACCCTGAGAGTTTTTCATTGCAAGACTATGTGAATACCTAGGAAATACTTTAAAAATTCACGTGTCTATGAGCTACACGTGGTTTACTGTGCATAAAAGCACTAAATTTCATCATCTATGATGTTCCTCAATTTATTATTTAACCCTCTGAGTGCAAATTATCCTAAAGTGCCAAAATAACCTACCCACACCCCATGGATTTTGTTTGACCCTACATTATTCTGTCTCTTTAAATCATGGCATACAAGAAACAAAACCACAACCAAACCAAAACACTACAAATTCCTATGGACCTACCTTCCAAAAATTCAGTATAGAAACATGAAATTTTGAATACGCCAGCTCATGAATAACTATCATACATACAATAAGAACCATATAATCAAAGATTGAATAAAGCACAAAGCACACCCATACTAAACTATAAATTATATTTATTTGTAATTTATGCAAATCAAAACTGATGATCCCTCCAGCAACATAGAAAAGCTTCAAATCAAAAATCCAGAAAAAAGCTCCCTATACCCAACAATCATCTTGTATGATGCAAAACATAAATATCACCAATGATGACTTGCAATGCATAGCACCAACTTGTCTAGTTACCAAGGAGAGCCTAACAGATAATATGCTTCCCACAGCCTTCATATATATTTTAGAGACATTGAGATAGACACACTATGCAAGTAAGCATCATGTCATCTACTAGAATAAATAAGAGATAGAATTTACTGAAAATTTAAGGGGAAAAATACTCTGATGTGATACAGCTTTTTGACATACAGATAACTCAGCTGAACAGAGCTAAAGAAATTCTAAACACTATATTATACAAGAAAGATCCAATAAGAATCAATGATTGCTGGGAGGAGGAGGTCTGATACACTTCTATGAGCTTAGAAACATACCCAAAAATGTTAAACCACCTCAAACGGTTTGCATTTTATGCTATAATGAAAATGACTAGTGAAAAAATGTAAAAGATTTAACAATAAATGAAGCAGCATAAACTAAAACTCAACTCACTCAATATAAACTACAAGATGGAAATGGCAATTTGTCTAAATTAGACCACAGTGATGAGAGTTACTTAAGACTAAAGTAGGAAAAATGGGTGAGATCAATTCTAAAGCAGTCACCTGCTGGTACAAAACTAATCAGCATTGGTATAGTCATTGAATTAGGATTAAAAATAATCTATTAGTAACTGTTTACAGGACAATTAAGGAATGTTCAATTGGTACCAGAAAACCCACAAGTATTTATTTAAACAGCCCAATACCCTCTCATGAAGATTACAGATCAACCTATCACCAACCCTCCTCCCAATGTACTCCATGAACCTATACCGGTACTAACAATTTAATGCAATCAGGTAAGTATAAGTATCATTTATGCATCAGTGTATGGGCAGTGGTGTTTCATCCATAGATACATGAATTAAAGAATTTGACTTGACACAAACACCAAGCTGTTACACAATATTGAACATCTGAATTCAAGGAAAAGTAAGTGTTCCCTTAAAATAATTTCCAAAAGGGCAAATCCTCAAGTGTCAAAATGCAAAAATGCATTGGTTCACTGTAAATCATAAGCTCTATGTTATTATCAACTTGAAATGGTTTTTTATATTACCTTCCCATCACAGTGAATGCATTTGTTCAGGATGTTGACTGCAGTTGAAATGAACAAAATTGTAATGTTTTCTACAATTATAACCATGACACATGGCACAAAATGAAAATTATTTGTACACAGTTGTCACAAAATGTCCTGACAAGATCAAATGGCAAGTGGAATGGACTGTTATTCCCCCATGCAACATTTATTTCAGGAACAGGTTCCCAGCAAAAGCCACAAGGACACAAATGTGAAAAGCTGTTCTGAATATCAATAATTTCAATTATTCATATGCACCTAGATACTTGGCTTGTGAAGCTCAAAGGACAACCCAATTATTACCAAATTTACTCTTATTTGATGACCAGACTTTATATAATCAATACTAATAATTAAGAAAACAGAAAAAAGAACCATAAGACTTACAAGGCAATCATCACGAAATACACACCTTGACCACATCCAACATTTGCTTCCTGAAAAGAAAACACATTACTTCTGAATAAACATATAGAATATCATTGGAGGGATAAGTTTCTATATGCCTTAACACAATACAAGTCTGTACAATAAACTCTCTAGCAAAGATACAATACTACTGGTATATTTCCTATAAAGGCACCTGAAAATTATTCTCTATCAAAGTTAGATAATTCTTGTATTGCTTAAAAAAGTAAGTTAAATATCAACTAAATGAATTTTTATGAATTTATATTAGTGAGATACATAATTTAGAAAATGAAATCACTAATGCTAATTTACAACTGTTCAAGAAAATGCATCAACTTGGGTTTACAAAATTAGAGAAATGTTTCAATGTATTTTAGTGAAAACAATTCCTTATAAAAACAGGTAAATACTTATTACTAAATTTCCTTAAAAATTATATACAGTCAAACAGGGTAATAAGGGACTAGTGGGGGTAAATTGGGACAGTCCCCATCATGTCCCAATTTACCCAATGTCCCCAATCAATTGGGACAGTCCCCATCCCCATATAGCAGCACAACTAATTGAAATACCTATTGCAAAACTAAAAAAAAGGCACAAACAACATTTTTCTCATCTATGTAGCATACAGGAAGCTTGGAAACCATACATTTACTAGCTCTAGAAAACACATGAAAAAAATTTTAAAATGATATTTTGGAAAAGTACCTACTTCTGCTAAGGTCTGTAGTATCTGGGACAATCAAGTGTCCCAGATTATCTCGTTCCCAGGGTAATTCAAGACACTTTATTCTGCTTCTGGCACTTTACAAATAACAGAAGGGATTTTTGGGGGGATGCCTTACAATAGCCCTGCAAAGACCTTTAAAATGAGCCCAAACTCAGTTATGAAATGTTTCATGGTAAGAAGTTATCAATTAAAAACAAAAAAATAATCCCTTATTACCTCATTTGACAGTACCTACATCATATATTAGCTACAAATAACTTCAGACATGTTCAGTTAACTTCTTGATGGGAAAGAAAACATTATAGTAAGTTAACTCAAAGGCAAAATCTCTGCCCTCCTGTTAATGTTAAGGCTACATTATAAACACCAAAATTGATGCTTTTTTCACAATTTATTTATTAATATGGAAGAACATATCAGTAATTCTTCAATTAATATTAGCAATTTATTAATACTAAATCAGTAAAGCATATTGGAGCCTTGGAGGTAATTTCACTTCATTTGTGAATTTTTAATGTTAATTTCCATCAAATGCTTTAAAAGCAAAGCAATTATATATGATACATGATGATGATTCAAATGCTTTTTACTCCTTCAATGTGTAGCTTTTTACTACTTCAATATATCAGTAAAAAAAATTATCATGAGTAAATGTACCTATCTTAGAATGGGTCATTTTTTTTTTTTTGTGCTGGCCTCAGAAATACAAAATTTTACAAATTTATTGTCAGCCTACCAAAGGGTTAAACCTGCAGGCTCAGTTAGAATTTGGAACATAGTTATAGAAGCAATTCTGAAACAAGCAATTCATGATATGAAACAAAAAATGGAGCTAACAGCTAAAAGAATGTGACGGTTTGTGACCTGAGCCAGTGAGCCCTGAGATGTTAAAATATTTACATTCAAAGCAAAGTTTTCAAATATCTTAATTAGGTATACTAAAATCAGTAAAATGTGTAGCTCCATGTCATATATTTTTTTAAATTTTAAATTTGATGGAAAATACCATTAATGTCAATAATAACATCACTAAAATTATCAGTCTTCAAAAGAAATGATCTATTTGATTTGGATTTGATGAATATAACCAACATAATAATATACCTACCAGGCTACCTTATTCCCAATTCCCATCCCATACATGATAGGGATATTGGCTTAGTGACAAACCAGAGATTTTTTAGAATGAGTTTATTTTTAATTTTCTATTCTACTTCAGATTTAAACCAATGTCTCATCACTCTCATGCATGATAATGCTGGTATGCCTACTTTCCTGCTCTACATACATCATCTGTCATCATGTGACTTGACTGTGAGTCTGTGACAGTCATGAGTCTGCGTCATACATTAAAATAAAAAAAAATTAAACCAACCTGCATTCTTCCGCGAATTCTTCGACATCAAATTTCTTGCACTTCTTCTCGTTCAGCCAAAAACCAACCCTTTTCATTGGCAGCGCCCCTTCCTCCATTTTTGACCCCACGTCAAAATTAGAACAGCGACGGCTGATTCAATACGCGCGGGCAGTCCGTCCGTCAAACAGATCTGTGAAGGGTCGCGCAATGAATGTCCAAGAAATAACTTCCTCTGTAACTTTTATACTATATTTATTCAACACAAAGGTCCAACTTCTATTTTCAAGAGGCAATTATGATAAATGAAACACAATTCATAAGAAGTGAACGCTCAACGTACGGGTAGACTTGCGAATGCACTAGATTCTATCTCGTCTCACCTTGATAAGATTGCACGCTCATGCAGATAAGACTAGAAAAACTCGGCCATAAACCTGATGCTATGATTCATCATGTCATATTAACAGACAAAATAAATAATTAATTTAAGAATTCGATGAAATGGCATCATTCTCACTTGTAACTTAATGTAGATCAAATGACAATCGAATTGAGAAAGGAAATAAGTTTTCAGTTTTTATCTGAAGCGTTTCTTACGTAAGTGGGTTTATTTATATCACCGCAATTGTCACGTAGGTTTGAATTCATTATCAGCGAAAATTCGTGAAATTTTGCTTGCTAGTTTTATTATTAATCCAGACAGAATTTTATCTGTAAGTTTTCACGCTAAATAGTATTTCAATCGAAAGTTGTCTCTGTAATGTGGTCACGTTAATTAAATTCATATCAGCAGGTTTGGAGCAGCGAGCAGGTTTAATCCCAGCATCATTTTATTTAAAAGTTTAGGGGCCTCTACTATGTTGGAAAATTTTCGTTACAGAGAACAAATCGACTATAGATCACTACAAATTGTGCAACCGACTGTTAGACCAGCAGCAAAATTTTAGGACGGCTCGGAGTGAAATTGGAATAACTTCTTGCACGAAGCTCCTTTTGAATATGTTTAATATCCAAGGGGACATTCCTTGGACACTGAAGCAACTTCTCGGACAATTTCCCGGCTGGTCTTATACTGGCCGGGAAACAGCCAATAGAGGCAAGCCTGGTCACGGGAAATTCCTGTAGGCACTCTGAGCCTTGAATAAAATTGAATGCTATCAATCCCAGAAAACGTCATAATAAAACCGAAATATTTACAATAACTTGTGCAGTTATTCGAGAACGATATCCTGTTATTAAACGTTTGGGATACAGTGTAGTAGGGAAAGGTTTATCTTACTTCTTGGAAATGACCATTAACGTTTTGTTCGGTGAGAAGAACGGTAAGATGTACCTAGACCTCTTCTTAACTTAATAACGGTTTAAAGCTCTTTTTTTCGATGTAATAAAAGTAGCAATCCTAAGTGGCAATGATTACAAGAATTTGTGGCGTGTTAAGCCAATTTCTACAGTGGCTACCATTTGCGACTGACGTGATATACAAAAGAATTATTATAGTTTAACCGATATACCGTGGTTTTTAATACTTCTCGGTTGTCTATCTATATTCAGCTCCTCTCATTACCTTTAATGAGAGCTGATTTTGGTTCCTAATATTTTGCATAATGAATTACTGCCGAGAGCATTACAGTCGCATCTTCCATTGGCGATGCTACCGGTGTATAGTGGAACTCGTATGTTTTTTAATGCAGGTAGTAAGCAGTCTCTCATCTTAGTTTTATTTGAATTGGTATTTAAGGTGCACTGGAGACTTGTCCAATGTAACCCTTGTCCCCAATGGCAGAACGTTTATTTTAATAGACATTCGGTTGCCCCCCCAAAGACACTCGGTTGCCCTCAAAGACACTCGGTTGCCCCTCAAAGACACTCGGTTGCCCCTCAAAGACACTCGGTTGCCCCCCTCCCAATTCACTCGGTTGCCCCAAGACACTCGGTTGCCCCCCAACACACTCGGTTGCCTCCCAAAGAGACTCGGTTGCCCCACAAAGACTCTTGGCTGCCCAAGGCACTTATTTTCACACGACACTTGGTTGACCATGACACTTGGTTGCCCATGACACGTGGTTGCCCATGACACTTGGTTGACCATGACACTTGGTTGACCATGACACTTGGTTGGCCATGACACTTGGTTGACCATGACACTAGGTTGACCATGACACTTGGTTGCCTATGACACTTGGTTGACCATGACACTTGGTTGCCATGACACTTGGTTGCCCATGACACTTGGTTGCCATGACACTTGGTTGCCATGACACTTGGTTGACCATGACACTTGGTTGCCCATGACACTTGGTTGCCCATGACACTTGGTTGCCCATGACACATGGTTGCCCATGACACTTAGTTGCCCATGACACTTGGTTGACCATGACACTTGGTTGCCTATGACATCCGGTCGGCCACAGCACCCCGTTACATGGCATCATGTCTTCCATTTCAAAATTTTCAAAGGGAAAAATTTGCTAGAGAAAATTATCATCTAAACCGCAAGAGATCGGATGAAGAAATAGTCGTGTGCAGAATTGCAACCGTCGGCCTAACACCTCGAAACGATGCTATGTTGCCGCTGTGTTTCCAGAAGAGCGTTGCAAAACCTTCAAAGCGGTCTTCTTCTACGGGAGCTTGACGTGGAACACCTCTCACTACAAAGGACAGATCCGAACTCCGCAGTCGCTTATCATCTTTGGAAACACCGCTTCTACTTCCGTCAACTCGTTACTCAACTGCGGTACACAAGAATTTTGGACGCACTCTTTTTTTTATCTTAGTGCTAACTTCAATTGTATTGAAAACGCAGGCTCGTGAAAATGGCGCCTCGTACTCTACGAATATACTCAACTTTTAAAAATGTTGTAAGTCAAACATAGACACAACATCGGACCTATAGTCATAGTGTACATATGCTTTCCCTGCTATACAAATCCTTAATAATAGCTTCTTTGGTTAAACCGTTTCACAAGCACGAAAACGAGTCTCATTATTCTTCTAAAGTCTAAAGTAACCAGTGGTTACATGCAGTTCAGCAGAGTACCAGGATTGGATCAGAGGGCTGCGGGTTCGATTACGCAACTATTGAAAATTTTTTAAGTCAAACATAGACACATCAGACCTAATATTAGTAATTTTAGTTTTACTGCATTTATGTTTTTCCTGCTATACAAATCCTAAATAATAGCTTCTTTGGTTAAAACCGTTTCACAAGCACGAAAACGAGTCTCATTATTCTTCTAAAGTAACCAGCGGTTACAGTTCAGCAGAGTACCAGGATTGGATCAGAGGGCTGCGGGTTCGATTTCAGCTCTGTAATACAGTTTCTGGTCAGATTCGGCGAGATGGTGGGGCGGTTAAGCTACGCAAAATTGGAGCAGTGAGTTGCAAGTTCGAGACAGCAAAAAGCTGATAATGTTCCGCGATGTTATGAAATAATGTTCTGCGATGTACTCGATTACAAAAATTTGAGAACAAGTAAAATTGTTCAAGTAAATTCTAGCATCTCTGAGTTACTCATTTGCTAGTCGTATGAGTTTCGATCAGCAACGTTGGATGTCACCGGAATTGTGGAATTAAATGCAATGTAGATCTAGCTTGCGTACACGACATCCAGCCTGGTGAATGATCTAAAGGTCAGCATTATCTAATTAAATCAGCGTTATCTCCACACAGTTGTTATTATCTCAATTAATTTAAAATGATTCAATATAACACAATCTGGACAAAATGACCGCGAAGTCAGTACGTCAGAAATATACATAAAAACTAAAAGGGAAAGATAGTAGAGAATTTTCTTGGCATTATATGACTGATTTTAAAATTTGGCTTAGTTTTCCCTTAGAACAATCATACGATCTTCATACTTCGGTTAATCAGGATATGAAAAATTATCTTTGTTTACAATTTTAGCCCAAGTTAAGAGAATTTATTCAAGTCAAACTGAAATTTTACATATATAGGCGAATTTTTTTGAAATTCTGAACAAGATGGTACTATATGGTAGTTGTTTCCAAACTTTTCTATTCATTTCCATCTAGAACCAGAAGGACTTTAGTCAAAACTGTCCCTGTGGCGTCACACTTTTCCCTTTGTAATATTTTAACGTTAGTGAAGTAAAAATGACAAACGGGATTTACGTTAAACTGAATCCATATCAATATCATCAAATAAGGAGAGAAATTGAAAATGTTGTTGCTCCCACTGTCACATTAGGCACGGATAAAAAAAAATAAAAAAAAACTTCAGTAGAGGAAAAATGAGACGACGTGTATTTTGCACTTCGTTTAGAAAGAGAAAATACCGCGATTTCCTCCAGCATAAGTGGCTGCAACGAGCCATTCTTGCTTTTGCTTTCCTCCTAACTTGTCGGAAGCTGTCAGTCTCAAATCTCCCTTTATATTGGTCCGAGTGATTGCAGTCTTACAAGAGGAATTTAATTTACTTAGTATTTATTTCTTTACGCCCGAGTAAATCTTCCATATATTTATTTGCTCACAACAAATAAATTGGAATGTTGACTATGTTTAACTAATAAAATACAGGTACCTATAACGATTAAAATGTTTGTTTTAATTTTATATGAGGTTAGGTTCAATATCCATCTCTTTAATTTAAGGTTAGTGACAATTCTGAATGGAGGTTACAAAATACTTGATTTATAAATGCAATTAAAGATTGAAATCTTGCAGCGTACTGTTTAAGATTTGACGCGTGGCTTGTAGTGAAATGAAGACTGGAGACTATAATTAAATAATTATTTTCCGAATTTTATTTCATTTAACCTTAAGCTTAAATTGCAAAATAATTTACGTATTCGGGTAAGAGGTCACTCTTCAAATGCATATTTGTTTTTTCAAACGGATGTGAGTGTTAGAGAAAAAGACAACTCCTCTTCGGATTAGCCAAGGCTTGGGTCGAAACTGCTGGTGTTGTGCGAACAGCTTTCAGAAAAACGGTACAATTTGCGTTATTTTTAGACCAATTTGATAAGAGTTTGCGTGTAGTTGGCCACAACGGAGGAACTCGTGAGTGTTAACGTCACACTAATCAGGTGAATGTCAATGACGAAGCCTAACGCTCCTGATAATTGGCTTTGGATTAGGCTTAGTCACGCACGAGATATAATTTCTAGCGATTATCACTTAGAATGCTGTTACTTTTATCATATACAGATTAAAATGATATTTAATCGTAATTGGAAAGAAAATATTAATCAAGACAGACCATAAAATGAGAAGATGGTCAAAGCTTTAACTATAATTGGTGCTATCGAATGCGATACCTTATAGATAAAACCAGAGCGAACTGATAACGACGTGGAAGGTCGTGTTTTTTGTTGTGATGACCTCAGTATTGAGGTAACCATGTTCAAGCAAACGGCCTCGTCCTTTGCTAGATTTGTTAGGAATAAACAACTGAAAGTATACACTTAACGATCCATACATAGTTGAACGTAGTTGTACTAAGATATGTCCACTGGAAATTAACATAACTTTGTCAGAAGTTCAGCACTGTTTATTCCTTTGTGATAAATTTATTTACGTTTTGAATCTCGCCATTACGAAACTTGACATTATTTTACTCAGTGTGAGATAATGAGCTAAGTCAGTGTGTGCTTCTTAAGCCTAGAGAGAATAAACATGGGGATCCGGAAAACGGACACCAGTCAGTTACACCTACACATAATTCTGATACTGCTGTTTACAACATCAGTCATTCAAGCACCAATTTTGATGAGTGAGTCTAAATCTTCAAAAACAGACATCTTACCCGTGCAAGAAAAATACAAGAAAAATGTAGAGGAGCCTGAATCCAACTTAGTTGCGCCAAGTGTCACCAGTATTGAGCTACAAGGAGATACTATAGTGAATAAACAAAGAGTGATGAGTAAGAGCGGTGCAGTGTCCAAAAGAAAGCGGACCATACATGAGGTGACGCGGAAAGTAGAAGCCATCACGAAGAATGTGACTCGAGAAACGGAAAGTGACTTTGGGAATGAGATAGTATCAACTTTTGATGAATCATCCAAGAAACCAGTAAGCGAATCAAAAGAAGTTTACAAATCCCTAAAATCTTTGCATCAAACTGCCAAAAGTATTTCCATAGAATCGGCATTTAAACCTTACAATCCACGTTCTAAATTAAAAATTAAACACACCAGAGATTTTACCCCGACATCTTGCGATGTAGTCCATGCTATGGCGAATGAACATGTAACTACAACGCAAACAAACGATGCTCCTGATGACCTCCCATCGTCCATTTTGTATCCTCACTCAGCAAACTTATCGAAAACTGAAAATCCACAAGAATCGATTGACTTTAAGATCGGCAAGCGAGGACCCAAAAGGAGCACAGGCTTAGAAGATCGATGGATATGCATACCTCCGCAGCCCAAAGAAGCTCCCGGCAAAACTTTAATCCCTGAGAAATGCTTGTGTACTGAAATGGAATACTCCTCAAAATCTTTAGACGACGACTCGAACCTAACTGAAAATGAAACAATCATGTTTAGCGAATATTGCATTTATTACAATAAAACAAAAGCAGCCGTGTGTTCAGGCGCTCAGGTTAAAGAGGTGCCGATGTTGTCCACAATGGCCGAGGTGAACACTTTAGTTTTCGATAAAACAAACATATTAATTTTAGAAGAAGAAGCCGCCACGCGGAAACTCCCACAAACTCAAGCACTGGGATTCACAAATGGAATATTGTTCCGTGTAAGCCCTGGATTTCTACGGGAGGTACGAACGGAGAAGCTCATCTTCACAAACAACTCAATCACAGACTGGAATTTCTCATGGTTCACGTCAGCCAAGAAATCAAACATTACTTCAATAAACTTGAGAGACAATCTCATCCGATTTTTGGTGAGTTTGTCTAGATTGAGGTTTACATATTTGAGACGACGGTTTTACGCGTAAAAATAATTGCTTAAATGCCTATATCTATAGAATGCATCACTGCTGCTGGGATCGCATAGGCCTGTTCTCCTTATGTTATTCTGACATGGTTGGTAAATAAATTTATACGGAAAGGGTTAAAGTTCTGTACTACCATACCAAAGCTATCAACACAATCAGGGGCTTATCGCCGACCACTTAACTACGCATCAAATGTAACGTGCTCGGACGCTAATGAAATTGAATAGGTTCACATATTTTTATGAATTTAGTTGCTGAGTAAATATAGCTTATCCATGACATAACCAGGCATTTCAGATGTAATTTAAGCGAAATGGCTTTGTTTGACTAAACGGCTGTTGCTGGGTCTCCAATGATAAGGCACTTGACGACTCACGCAGAACGTCACCTCTTGTTCTTGTGAATCAATCCGTATTTATTGACAATCTACATAAACAGCTTGTTGTACAGCCCCCATTTTCCCAACCTATAATAATAGTTATAAAACTCTTTAGCTACATTCAATAATACTGCGTAGTTGAGATTAGAATTTCTTACGCTTCTGCACTGCACGCTGGGACTAAGCGAAACATTTTTATGCAGTTTCAAAGCTTTCTGTTTGAATCAGTACGTAACCAATTCCCAAATATCACTTTATCGTACAGAATTTTTTCATCCAGGTAGCGAGGTAGAGAAACTTCTCCTCTTCATGAATAATTAACCACTATATTATGGGCAAATGAATCAAATGATTGACCCTGCATCACCTACAAGTTTTCGAAATTTTGTATTGAAAACACAGCCATATCACCTACTCATTGTATTAATCATGTAAAAAGAGTGCCTGGCATGCTATAAATTATAATAGAATTACTAGAAATTTAAAAGCGAAGAAAACACCACAAAGCGAAGAAAACGAATACATGCTGAATTTTTGTGGTGTTTTCTTCGCTTTTAAATTTCTAGTGAATCTGCGATTAAAGCAATCTAGTGACATTATAATAGAATTAATTATTTGTCAGAAATCATATCTCCTGGCTATTTTAATAATTTTTAGAATTTATCTTACCATAAATTCTTAATTCATGCATAAATAAATTTACTTGAGTGCAAAATTGGTTTTGAACATTAGAACGACATTCTTAACTGATTGCCTCAATATCAAGATGTTAAAACACAACAAAGAGTTAAACATTTGAGTATGTGCAGTATTTTAGATATAGCAAGTGACGAACTGTGCTTGTGTGCAGCCAAGTCCTGTGGAGAACGACATCCTTATAACTGATTGCCTCGATATCAAGATTAGAAAGCACAACAATGAGTTAAACATTGGAGTATGTGCAGTATTTTAGATATATCAAGTGACGAACTGTGCTTTGTGTGCAGCCAAGTCCTGTGGTTGGGAGCACAAAGGTATTACCGCACCTCAAGACCCTCGTGCTGAGCGAGAACCCCTTGCAGGTCATCCCAGCGAACATATTTCAGCCACTAGCAGGCTCCCCAGTGACGTGTCTCAGCCTACGAAGTTGTTGTCTCGATGATTTTGGTAGAGGTAAGTGGTCGCCACGCAAGGTTTGTCTACATCTGCGACAGTAACTGTAAACTTTTGGAGAATTCTTGAAGCATTAAGAAAATTTTTGCAGAATAATTCATTTCAAAAATTGATTATTAATATAATTCGAAACAAATTATTTTGAGACGTATCCAGTCCATGTGCAATGTGCATAATTCTAACAACTCACAACAGGAAAAAGTGTGATTTCATAATGCCATTTTCTTTTCAAGCAAAAAATTGGGTTCAGAAAATAAAAATGTCTGAATTCGGGGTGTTACTTTCAGATGTGGAAAACAACATAACGAGCAGTCTGCAGTTCTTGCCGAACCTCGAATTGCTAGACTTGTCCAGCAATCCTCACCTGAGTTCTTTCAAAATCGCCCGATTTCTTTCTCCTCTACAAGGCCGAAACTTGACGACATTAGTGCTAGCTAGTAATAACTATGTTTCCATCCCTCATCTGGCTCTGGAAGTGGTAACTACATTACACGAATTTAATACATTACTAATGAATTATTGAGAATAAAATTTCGCCTCATATCGGTTTCAAGACTATAAGATTCTTATACGCCGTTCACATTGCTCAATCGAAACACAATTTGCAATAAATCTACCTATTTAAAGCGGATCTTTACCAATTGGGTAAAAGTAATAGAGTTATTGATTTATGAAAATACCAATTTTACGATAATTAGAAAAGAAACAAGAGTTATTTTGCCCTAGGTGTCGACGTCCCTCAGGGTGCTCGACATTCGCAGCTCTTCCGTGCCATGCTTGGACAACACATCGTTCCCGTTCTTACCGGAACTCCGATCCCTCAACCTCGACTTCAGTAGAATATCGTCGGTATGTGTAAAGTTGTGAAGTGAACCCACCCTTTTGTTATCATAAGCATTTGCCGCCATGTTTCTCTCCTTGGTAAATCAAACGACCTCATATCTCGCTATTAATGGATCAACGACAATTATTTTTCTGTGCGAATTTTGTTACAATTTGCACGGGTTATATTAGGAATCCACATTAATATAAGGGGCGTACAATATAGTGAGTAACAGCATACAAGTGAGGCCGCTTGAATTTGTGTGACATTCATTAGCGTATATTGTTTACAACGCTCTAATGCAAATCATTTTAATTATAGTTGCTGCCGGGCGTGTTTGATGTTATGCCAAAACTGAAGTCCCTCAGCCTCCAAGGCAACCACTTCATTTCCATTCCGGCCAGCATCAGATTACCTACTTTGCAGGTATGATAGCAATGAGATAACAACTGATCTGATACTAATAAAAAATGTAAATAATTGGAATGAGTCTTCCAATACAACTACTGAGCAATGTTTAGGTGACGATTCATCGACAATTTGTGTATGCCGATATCAAACTCAACGCTCAATCAATCGATTGCCCATCTTTTACTTTTTGTAGTAACCTACTGAATTATCAAGCTAATTGAAGCATTTTGAAGGAAAAATTTTCCAATTTTGAGCCATTGTTGACACACAGGAGCTCAACTTCCAAGGTAACCCACGAATAGAAGATGATTACGACGTGTGCAACTTCGAGCTTGAACTCAACAGCTTCAGCGGCATGACAGGGCTGTTGTACTTGAACTTGGCTCAGGTACGCTATCCTATTATTGTTAAACTGCGGACTGTATATGCAGACAAACTGAAGTGAGTAGCTGAAATATAGTAAAAGATTTACAACATAGATTCAGCAGCGGATCTATTACTTTGATTTCCACTGAAGTTCAATCAGTTTAAGTTTTTGCAAATTAAAAAAAAAAAATAAACAAATCCACTTCCAGAACTCCTCGGGAGTATTGATCACGACTCTATAAGAAATTCATATTTAAAACAAAATTGTGTTTCCCATGTACAGGAGAATACACAAAAACATTACCTTTAATGTGTGGTTTTCTTGGTATTTCATGGTGGATAGTGGAAACTGATATTGAGTAGAAGGAAACTGATATTGAGGTATCACAAAAGGCGAATTTCAATTTCTACTCATTCTTGCGCGTGTGCTGCGCAAGATATTGCCTATTCCCCTAATTATTCTCTACAATTTCTCGACCAAACCGTTTACTTGTTCTTTACATTTTCATCTTTAACTTTTGGTAATAAGGACAGCTTGCAGCCGGCATCGCACACAAGTTTTAATTAGCAAGCTAAGGTAAACCCCCCTATACGCACAACTGGAATCTGAACTTGAGTATATTCTAACAATTTATTTAACTGTTAACAGCCTCACAAAATCGCACTATTACAAAAATGCTTCAAATACCTTTATAATTATCTATTAACATTTAGTTGGACGATATACATATTCCAATTCATTCAACTATATTATAATAGAAATATTCTATTTATTAGTTTAGTAGGTGTTGAGGAGTAAATTTTTTTTTAAATCAACAAACAACGATATACTTTCAGCAGAATTTTATAGTGATGAATTTATCATTAATGGTAGAACTGTTCGTTCCATGGTTAAACTATAGTTCAACGATGGTTCGTTTGCTTGCGGTGCTCACAACACAAACCCTGCTGATCAAGGCCAAACAGCGTGTCCTTGCTCCACGTCCACGCAGTGCGGATAGCCAGGCGTTCACTTACTTGGGCTCAGGGAACAGTTAGGAGAAGGCGGAAGAGTTGAGCTGCGGTCCGCAACGTTGTTGTTGAATGAGAGTCCATGTTTAAACACTGTTTATGGCAGTGTGATTTTACCTGAAAAAATTTCCCCCTTTTTTAAAACAGACGCCAATAAAACGACTCCAGTCTCGCCAGTTCTTTGGGTTGGAGAATTTGCAGACGTTAGATCTGGCGCGGTGCCTCATCAGCCGTATTGACCCTGGTGCTTTCACGTAAGTTAAAAACACTATCAAATAACATGTAATATTGTCAGTATAAAATGGTAATGCTCACTTAGAAGAGTATATTCAGGTAACGTACATCTATATTCCAGCCATGCACATATCCTTGCCAATTGGTGTGAGAAAAAATTCAGTTTATTCAGGCAGTCGCTTCTAAATTTAATCAAGTTTCATTCTTAAATTATTATTCATTTATTCAGCTACACGCATAACTAACGACCGAAACGTTCAATTATACGTTTGCATTAATTGATCAAAATTTCATATTTCAGATCATTGACGAGCCTGAAGAATTTATACTTAGATTCCAATTTATTGGAATCTCTTAACAATGACACATTCTTGGGGCTGACCAATCTCCGGCTCCTGGAACTGGAAGACAACGCACTGACGTTTGCCAAGCCTTACATTTCCAGCCCAGTGGACCCTCTTCTAGAAGGCCGACAGCAGAACGAGGTTTACGAAACACCGCGATCGGATGGACACATGAATATTACAGCACACGAAAAATTTGGAAACAACAGTTCAACAATCGATAAAATACCCAGAAGTACTTCAGAACGTCCATTTTCCCACTTGTTCAAACTCCAAGCGCTCATTCTGAAGTCTAACAAGATAGGGGATTTGGTGCCAGTATTTGACGATCTTTACGACCTGACATTCATTGACCTCAGTAAGAACGTGATCACTGACTGGTACGAGAGCGTATTCCAAAACAACGCCAGGTTATCCCATCTCTTCTTGCAATACAACCAACTGGATTCTTTCACTGACGCAATGGTCCAAGATTTTAGTGGAGAGAACCTAACGGAAATCAACATAAAGGGAAACCCTTTTACTTGTTCTTGCGGTTTCTACGACGCCTTGAAAGATCTTGATCCGAACGATTTTGTGGACTATGAAACATACACGTGCACCGTCGAGGACAGCGAGCCCCTGCAGCAGAGGTGCTTCACAGACGTCCCAGGGGACTGCCCTGAGGAGGTTGATGAGATCAGCGGTTCACCTTTCGAAGCGAAAGTCTTGATCGTCGCCGCGACGGTACTTGTCGTAAGCAGCTTTGTTGCCGCATTCACATACAGGCATAGGTAAGATGCACTCCTTTGATATAGTTTACGCTGCAGATAATTTCATAATAATTGATTCATGAAGCATTTAGGTTCTGACAACGCCTCGATGTTATTTTGTTGCCTAACAATGTGTTCTATATAGACTATCTTAAACTTAATGTGTCTGGCTACATGCGACTCTTGCCTTCTTTGACTCATGTATAGAATTAACCAGTTTCAGGAAAATCTCTCATTTTGAAATAACTACAAGAACGCTTCTCACGTATTCCAACAAAATGGGTGACGTTCTAAAAATCAATCTTCAGGACCAATCTATTTCCAATTAAAAGGCCAACAAGTGATGGATTCTGCACCCTATGCTAATCTCTAATTTAACGTAACAGGTGGAATGGCCTTACGTCGATTTCCATGCGTTTGAAATTTTCATTTAGATTCGAACTAACGCAGTTTTCAGCCGTTAAAGTGGAAACTACCACTACGTTACAGAAAGCTCAAGAAGAAGCAGATCCCAGCAGATATGGAGCTGCGAGAAATTGAGCCGAAAATATTGTATCAGTACGACGTCTTCGTCTGCTACGCCGCCTCAGACAAGGACTGGGTGTTTGAAACACTCTTGCCTGTACTTGAGAAAAAATACCGGTAAGCTGATAATTTAACTATTAATGATATTGAAAAGAAGGGAGAAGTAAATTTATTAATATATTTTTATTCGCTACAAAAGCTCTCTAAATTAAGTAGTGTTCAAGTGTTACTTTATGTACCGAATTTTTTAAAATAAATGTTCATAGGGCGTATAAATGTAGACTGTGCAACATCTTCATTTGCTGTTTACTTTTAATTTTAGGAAATTTTTTCCATGTTAGTACACCTTTTTATATTTGATTGGATTTTATCACCCATTTCTGGTAGCTAGTTAAAAACTACCTGACTGATCCTCACTGCACAATATAACTGCCCAGACTGGAGGTGTGCATACATGAACGAGACTTCGAGCCTGGAGATATGATTATTTCCAACATCTCCAGCAGCATTCGTAAATCAAGGAAGGTGAGAAAGTCAACTATAATTGACGCACAAAATGTTACTGAAATCCTTCACTATGCGCGATCGAAGAAAATGCGAGCATCCAAAATTGTTATCGCACATGGGTCGTAAATCCAGGAAGGTGAGAAAATCAACTATATATAATTGACGCACAAAATTTTACTGAAATCCTTCACTGCGCGCGATCGCAGAAAATGTGAGCATCCAAAATTGTTATCGCACGTGGGTGTGTTTGCAGCATCTTCAAGCTCATTCTTGAGTTACCCATAAAAATGATATTATTAATAAACAGTAAGGCAAAATTTATTATACGTGCACACAGACGTCTACAATAAATGAGAGCCAATGTATAGCAGAAAATGCGAGCATCCAAAATTGTTATCGCACATGGGTGTGTTTGCAATATCTTCAAGCTCATTCTTGAGTTACTCATAGAAGTGATATTATTAATAATCAGTAAGGGAAAATTTATAATACGTGCGCANATAAGCGCGCACAGACTTCTACAATAAATGAGAGCCAATGTAAATTTTGATGCAGTTATCATCACTCATACATTACCCTAGCCCGGCTCAGCAGCATCGACGTCATAAAACTTTTTTGTGACAGCTACATACGTTTTTCGTGATCGTGCTAAAAAATAATGAATTATTCGGAAATTCCTGATTAATTAATCCATCAACATTTGTTTAATTTTTGATAGTTCTTGATTTGAATAAAAATCTTCATTCTTTAACGTTCTTGATTTTTCTCAGGTGTTATTCGTCGCGTCGCCAGCATCCGCGGCGAGCAACTGGTGCAACCTGGAACTGGACCTGACGCGCTCGGCGAGCGTGAGCCTCGGTCACAACAAACTCGTGGTGGTGCAGAAAGAAGTCGTGCCTCCAGAGCAACAGACGGAGGCTCTGCGCCACAACATGTCCACGAGGACCTACATTGAGTGGTCCGAGGACCGGAGAGTCCAGGAGATGGCGTGGGCGAAACTTAAGAAAGTCCTCGTGGTTGCCAAAGAGAAATCAAAGTTATCTACGATCAGCAAGGGTGCACTTGACAATGTTTCATTGCAGTCTGAGAGATAATTTACATAAATATGTTTTGTTACCGTGAGATTTAATCTAGAATATGAATAAACGTTAATATAATATAAATGGTTGCCGACTTTTTATCTGTTGTTGTGTTTATTTCATGTATATGACAAATTGAGAGTTTATTTTCATAAACTGCCGTCACGTATTCCAACTCGGGGTATTGAATGCAGCAGGCAAGTAATAAATAACTTTACCATTGTTCATTTTTTTCGAGTGGTCTAATATCTTCATTAAACTTTTAAGCTAAATCTAAAGGTTGCCTCAATTATCTCTCTTTAAATTAAGGCAATTATCTAAAACAATTTTAATTATCTAAAGATTGCCGGTATTAAGCGTATTCCGTATGCTGTATGCATACTAAATGCTCCCCAATTCTTGCATTTGGACCTACCAAAAATCGCCGATATAATGTGGTATTCAAATAATGAAAACTACAGGGAATTCCAAATAATTTATATCTGCATGGCTAACCCTTTAAGCAAATGAGAACTTGAAGGTTCAGCTCAAGACGCATTTGAGCCGAACCAGCAAATAAGTTTCACCAGCGGTATACTATTATGTTGATCTCCACGGACAACACATCCGAAAATTAATGTGAATATACTCGCAACTAAGTACAAATTTACGTAAATGAACATTTTTGATGAGTAAAATGTGAGCACATCTTTGTCACGGGTATAATGATTAGAAGTCCGTCATTTTTTTCTGTGTACCCCAAACTATAATGATGTTAGGCTATTCCTGAGAAAAAGTGAGCATCAAGCTTACTGATACGTTCATGTTATATTTATGTATATGAATAAATACATTCAAAAGATCCTCTAATCATTTTCCTACGTCTTGTTCTGGTGAATCACTAGTCTATGTTTCAATGCGTACAGGTTCGTTTTGTTCCAACGTTAACGTTGCATCGTTTCTTATTTGAAAGATTTTACTTTATATTACCAACTAACAACATTGACATTTCAATACAAGCATATACTGCGATTCATAGCTTGAAACGAATTTCATAATGTCGGCCATTTTTACAGCAGGAGCTTGGTTAAAAATTATGGTTTTAGAGAGTAAAATGAGCGGAGCAGCGCCCTCAACATTGCACAACATTGTTATACAATTTACAATATATTCATAAATATTGTATGGTATTTAACTTCATTTATACACACTCAATCTTAATCTGTGATTAATATTTGATTGATTTTTACAGTACTGATGCTTATGACATTATGCTTATGACATTCAGTAACCATCATGTCATTACGATCAAAATACTCTTCCGCACTCGAAATCATTAAGATGAGATTAGTTAATGCAAAGTAAGATTCAGCTCCCTCATAACATATCAAACATCCTAACTACATCTGCAGTTATCTTGATAATGCCGGTGACGACTGGGCTCTCTACGCTCTGCTGCGCTGTTGCTGTCAGATGACACTGATCTTCTCTAGATACGAGGCATCGAGGAAAGAAATATACCTATTGAAAATGCGTAACTTCAGAGCAACTTAAAAAATTATCATAGTATTAAAGAGCGTATTTGCATCAAGATTAATTGAAAACGTCAATTTATAACTTAACTATTGAATATGCACGGTAGAATCTCCCTAAATCCAATATTGTATTGACAAATAATAGAACTCATGGCAGTATTTGAGGAAATTGACACAGAGAATTAATTTCAAAAATCTTATTTCTTTGAAATAAAGTGAAATAAATAATAATAAATAAAGTGAAAGCACGTTTCAAACGTACAGAACGGAATGCATTACGAGAAAGATATTTCAATCTAATAAGGGATTGAAACGGCTGCTAGTGTCCATGTGAACTTCACACGACGTCACATTATTTGCGACGCTACGGCGACGCCGCTCGTGCCGCCTGTTTGGCGCCAGGTCGCAAGGCTCATTTCTGACGCTAATTTTCTCGTGAGATTTCCTCCACCGACATGAAGAAAGTATGACTAACTAAAATCTTTCAGAAGGTTAATCATCCGATGCCTTCGCATTAGTTACCACCTCGTGCGTGCATTACAGGCCCCGTTATTGATGCACTTGTGAAGTGGTGGACAACATAGTGGGACTGATACCCCTGAAGGCCACTGGGCGCGTTCACGTACCTCATATTGTTGCAGAAGCGGCGAGACTTGCCTGGCTGCAGTTGGTTGTGCGCTGTGGCTGCATCAGCCAGTTCACAGTTGGAGTTGTGTACTTGTGTTGCCACTTCAGTAACGGCTTGGACTTCGTAGTGGTAGGTTGTTTTCCGGTAAAGTTCATGTGAGCGTAACTTCAATTATTGTCATTATTTAGAATAGCTTTTTGATCAGACCTGTGCGTGCTAATATTTATCCAAATAAACTGAGCAATTTATCAATAAATAGTTTGCAGACGAATAGATCTCTTTTTTTTTTATTGCCGAACATGGAATAGCTGTTATCTACCGTAAATACTGGTTTCACTTGCTCGCCTGTTTCTATGATTAAAAGATTACACAATTTTTTAAATCTTGACAAGAAGAAAGAACGGCGAATCAACATGGCTAATTTTATGCCAAAATCTACATACCCCAAGAAACACAATCGAATTGATCCTGGTAAGCCTGGCCTGACATCCAGGGCCACTAGATTTCGAGAATTGTACAAACTTTTTTTCTATTTTAATCTAGCATTCATGACGATTTATATTTACCTCTCTCACTGATCGTAGATCTTTTTGATGATATTAATATCCATTTACTGCGCTGGGAGCTGAGCTCTGACTGAGCCCAGCCTAGTGTTTTCGAATGGAAGATTGGTTAAGCAATAGGCTAACTCACTAACTGATATCAGAACATGCGTTTCTCGTCCAAGACATCGTGTGCTAAATCATAATTTTCATATGCCATAAATTCCCATCGAACAAATCGATAAGTTTGATTATTTCCTCAGCTCGATTGGCATGAAGTGTTCTTGACTTGAAATTTTCTCACTTTTGTTGAAAATAGGTTTCAGACACATTGCAATTTCATAATAGCCTATTATGTTCATAGTTATTTTATGCATGGGTGATAGCCTACTACTCACTAGTACTAGTTGATGAAAGTCATGAGCTTGATTAAACTTTCGAAGTTGCCAGGACCAGAAGCACTTTATGGGTCTGAATGCTTGATGTACAGATGGTAGCTGAATGTTAATTGAATGTAATGATACTTGAAAGAATGATACTTGTTAAGAGTTCGATGCTTCTGCACCGTATGAAAAAATGCTTTTAAGTCGTTATTCATTTTCCTTGCTTTCTCTGAGAGAATAAGTGAAGTTAATATACCTAAAATATCATTCATAAGATATTGGTGACCAAAACCACCAATAATCTCATGCCTCATTGACATATTGCTTCTGTGACCAAATTGTATCTACTTGATGACGCACTTTTGAAAACCTGCAAGCCGTGGCATGAATGGAATCCGTCTTTATTCCTGATAACGATGGAATTGCAATGGTAATTTTCGGAATGAACATAGTTACGCAAACGTCCCTCGCACTTGAATCACGCACACTGAAGCTTCTCCAACTCAAGTAGTTCATTGAGCAATGGTGGTGGTGCGTTACATGTAGCGGGCCGTTAATCTGATTTGTCGTTTAGGGGATTGCGAAGATTACATTGTGGTGAAAGGCAATGATGATGCTTGATATATTTGCGCCGCCTTAGTTGAGCTTAGCCGCAATTGATATTGTTGATTAAGACAGAGAAAAATGACCTTAATTTGAGGGGTTGAGCTTTAACGTTCATCAACAAAATTTTTGCTTACTCTTTTTGGCGCATTTTCTCATTCATGAAAAAAATGCACTATTGTGCTCACCATGTCCGTCTGTCCGTCCGTCTGTCCGTCTGTCTGTCCGTCCGTGATTTCATGTTTTCGTCGACGAGAAAATGTCACTCACTGCAGCGAGTACTGAATTATATTTTTTCTATTAATGCATCGAAACTTTTTGGCTGTAATCAGTACTTTTAGGCTGAAAGAATAGTTGGTGCATAAACATATTCTTCTGTAGCATTCAAATAACTACAAATGCAAAAGGTCAACGAGGACGCACGAGACGTTGTCATGAAAATGCTTGCATTGTTCTCCACTCAACTAGAGTACAACAATACTAGAGTATTGTAGAATAGATGGCATCACTCAACATGACTTTCCGACTTCTTTCAAACCCTGACGTTTTCAAGCTGCCAGAGCATCTACACGGTGAATATCGTAAAACATTAGTGGTCTTCCATTTGGCAAGCTACGAAGTTGACTCGATATGCTGATATACTCCCTAAAATATTTAGGAATATAAAAGGAGCTGGGTGTTGTAACAACTTTTCTTGTCGTTCATTTGAACTCAGCATGTTTCACAATGATTTATAACCTTTATTTTCAAAATTTACGCAAGCGCATTTGAAATCGTACTGAAAAAGCTGTAAGATGTTAGTCATCCACGATTGTGAGTTGTGGCGTCAACTCAGTTTTTAAAATTTAACTCATTTAAATTTACGAGATTTGAATTGGGTCATGGAATGCAATCAGCCCTGCTGTGAGGTAACAGTTAAATAAGACTATTAGTAATAACGTCTTTGTTAGATCACAGGTATGAGTGACACTCCGGATGCAATAACGCTGGTGTATAAATCTTGGAACAAAAAAAAACAGCTGGTATAACTGTAAGCCAGCAGATATTCCAAATTACATTTATAATAGACAATAGGGACATTTATATTCATCACGAGTATAACTAACAAACAGTGCACTGGGCCTAAGACTACTGAAGGTATATGCGGCAACTGCATTTTGAGGGTCCCATATGCGTAGGATAGAAAAGCCTAACTTGAAAATTCGTTTCGAGTTCCCAGGAGACAAAGAAATTTTACTGGTGAGGCAAGGTGGCATGATGAAATGATATAAAACGTGACCACCTTACTACGATTTATTCTGAAAGCCCACGTAGTTTGAAGAAGAGACAAAAATATTTCGTTGGTTTTTGTTCGTTTTAGGTTGCACAAGACATTAACAGATTTCTTCGACATTGTTGATTCAGCAACCCGCAAGAGGAGCAATTATGATCCGCTCTAATGTAATTGTTATCAGGTATTGTGAAATACTAGCTCGACATTGACGTCAGAAGCTGCGATTACTAAGAACAAATAAAGCTCTTAATTGGCTTGAAGAGCCATCAGCACCAATCGTTGACAGATTTCTGTTCTATATTACATTCTGTTCTGTATTATAAGTTCCGAGCTTGATTAATAAACAGACCCTCGGCTTTGCTTCACTACGTGAATGCCGTGTTAAGGAGTTCGTCTTATCTAGGCTAAATTCAATTGCTTATCTTAAATGAAAAATGCATGTGAAGGTTCGATTCGAACTTTTCATGGCCATACCAATCGTCGATAGATATTTAGCTTCTTCAAAATAATCTATTTGTTTTGTCTGTTAATTTTACCGTCGAAAAATGTTTGTGTATTCCAAATACAAACAATTCGATTTTATTTGTTTTTTAGATAGATTTTTTGCTTTCATAAACGTAAAACCTTTACTTAACCATCGTGATAATATTCTTGTAGATGAAACCGTGTCTCTTGCTATTTTGTAATTTGGTCTACAACTCATTGAAAAGAACAAAGTTTTCGGAAAAGTTTTGACTTAATCGCAGATATAAAGGCCCGTTTACACTACGGGACTGATTCGGAAGGATCGAGACTGGACTGAGACCAATAAGCCACATGGCTGGGCCTCAAAACTGGCGTGTGCGTTCAGACTACGCGCATGTGCTAGGATCAAGACTCACGACTATCGCAGTGCTACAACTCTGCCGCGCGCGATATTTCAGTTACTCGTTGGCCTTTGAAGATGGATCGTGCCAACGAGTAACTTGAAGATTTTGGATTGAAGCCAAAAAAGATGGATTGAATTCAAAAGTTTTCGGCTATCTATATACCTAATAGCAGTTATGAAACGCAAAACCTAACCACAACCGCGGTGTAAATGAATCCTCGGCACCTGCTCCAGATTTCAGGGTATCTTTCTTTCTTTTCATCTCAGATCTAAATTGATTTCGCAAAGTGTGAATTTTTTTACGAATTTTTTCGATGTTCATAGATGCATCTGATTTCTTCACTTATTTTTTCTAATGCTTGAAGTCTTGAGATTCTGTCTTTGTAAACCGAATTTTTTACTTTCCATAGGCAAGGTGCCTGTCTATATAACTCAATAAGCCTCTCACTAACATCTCTGTTCCAGTCTCCGTCATTGCAAAGCAAAGTAAATAAACAGGTAATTGTGTGTAAATAGGGTAGGAGCGACAGCAACGCACAACCTACTCAGACGGCAGTCAAAGCGACACTACCGAGATGAGCGCCTTGAGCGGCTCAAATTTCTCAAAAGAATGAACACTGCTTCATTCGCCGATGAGCCCGTGTCGATGGTCCGGACTGCCTCAGTCTGGACTGAAAAAGCCAGTTTTTCAGTCGTCAGTCGCGCAGAGTCTCGTAATGTGAACGGGCCTTAACGCTTCTGCGTGATGCAGTACGCGTTTAATAACTTACCCATTGAGTTGTATGTTTATTAATATGTTGAAAAATGGTAATGTTATGAATGGAATGAAGTGTTGATGAAGTGTATTATAATAGCATATCATATCATAGTTTTAAGTATCTTAATTTCAAACGTTTTGTGTTCTAAATCGTTACTAAGCCACTACTATTCTTAGACTGGTTTCTGTTTTATCTTTGAATGCAAAATTTTCTGTGCACAATTACATGTGATTGAATTTCTTGCATTAGAGTTTTTCAAGTTGTGCTTCTGATTAGATTTCAATGGAGGTAAATCTGATTTTATTGGATATAACTGTGCAAATTTTATTTTCTAAACAAATATTATTCGTCAGTTTGCGCTTCAATATTCTAATAAGTAATATTTTAAACAATTAGATTAGTACACAGATAAAAGTAGTTTATATTTACGCTATATTTCCTGCAGGTCTCTACAAATTCGCCTCACAGGACGACGAGCGGACAGCGCACAAACTGGAGTCTTTCCTGTGGTCGCTGCTGCACCAGAAAGCTTCCATCGCCGCCTTTCAGCAAAATGACCAACAGGATCCACCGTCGCCTAACACGCAAACGCCTCCCCGTACTCCTCCCAGCGCCAGAGCTGCGTCAGTGCCCCAAAATTCCTTGCCAAATACCAACGCGGGTCGGGCACTTGACGTCTCTAACGCATGCAAGCGGTTCATCAACGCTATCAAGGTGATGCTCTAAATTTATACTTTATAAATAAGTACCGTTTTTTGCCAATGGTATCAACCGTGATGCTGGACGAATATCGAAAATTCATATTTTATAAATAAATATAATTTTTCATCAATGGCATCAACCGTGATTTTTCGTCGATAAAATATTTTATTTTAAATAGTTCTTATAATTATTTCCCAAGCATGCATTACTAATTTAAGGTTATGAGAAATTTGATGCGCGGGCTGTACGTAAATAATAATTAGTGACCACAATTTGTTTCGTCTATTTCCACAAGATACGTCCATACTGAAGTGTAATCCTTGCATTATTAGAGCAACCTTGCAAAATTTATTATAAATAGCCCAAGATACGTCTATACTGAGGTGTAATCCTCGCATTCTTAAAGCAACCTTGCAAAATTTATTGTAAATAAATCTTGCTGTGAGCATTTGCTTCCGCCAGCGAAAAGTTCCTTGCACTGTTCAGAAGGCCAACTGACAATGCAGCCTTTGGCTACTCTTCACGGCCACAGTCGAGGACAGTTCACGGCATGGCATTAAATATTTCTTTTTCTGGCTCGACTATGTAAGTCGCTTCATAGGTCTAGAACTCTAGATCGACAACCCCTTAGTTCTCTTAAAGAGTGGCACATGTAAATGCATTTATTTATAAGTTAGCATTTTGAGGGTGTTTTTAAATAATTCAATTATTACAATGCTACTGAATACTCATACCCTGGTACGTCGTTTGTGTTAGTGGAATTTCTGAATTGAGGCAAGTTAAGCTCACCATTTGTAGTAAACTCTGTTTGACGCGAAATGCTTCAACACATGCATTTAGCATGCGTCACCTGAACTTCATATCGCTGTACCGTATCAGTGTTACACTGCATGTACGTACGGTATAGGGAACGCTATAGGCTCATATTCTAAGTCTTGCTACGCTGCATCTGTACTCTATTTATGACTGCGGTTTACATATTCTGTAGCGTCACCTGTTGCTGCAGAATTGGTTAAAGAATAGAATAGTAGTGTCGGCGTTGAAGACATAGGCCCATGGCCTGTTGCCGATTCTTGAACTTTTCGTGACTTGATTCACAAGGGATCCGGCCTTTGTAACCCGATCTTTTCATAACTGACGATTGATTGAGATAGCTGCTGGACTTATTGCCTGCTCCGTAATTTGCTAGGCATTTTAAGACTATTAAAGGCCGAACAATATTGACGACTTTACCTTGCGCACGAAATGCAAATGCTTGCAAGAGATCAGAGGCAACACAACGATCAATCCGACCAAAGACGACTGGGATAAGAAATCAAATTAAATATAATCATAAGTACTGAGGTTTAATAAAAGTTTATGAAGTTATCGGTGACAGCATGCTTCAAAATGGTATTCAAGTTATTGTAGTCTTGCTGTCAGTTATTCTTATCATGTACTGATTGTGCTCGCATATCAAAGTTTTCTCGCTCGCTCATTTTCATTAAAGATTGTGCCGAATCTGAAGAAATTAATTGTGCTTCTTTTCTGGGTCGCAGAAAACCATGCCTATCATATGAATCAGGTGATCTATTTCGTTTCACGTTCTGTAGTTGTTTGGACCCAATCATGTTGACATGCGCATATCATACGGAGTTTAGGTTATGAGCTCGGGTAGGAATACGTTTTTACCTCATGTAGTGAAGTATTCCCACGTACCGTATGACATGGAACAAATAATTAAACAACAATAAAAATCTTGTTAATAGATTACATTTCAAAACAGGTGGGGAATTTCGGTTAGCTTTTAACACTTGAAAGTAATTTTAAAATTTCGGTTCCTCTTCAAGCTCTTTCCGCATGATGACTTCTTGCACAACCTCGTCCGTTGTTGGTTCATCGAGTGTGGGTGACATCAGTCAAAATTCGAGGATAGGAGATAAGTCACTTATGGTACTTCACCGCTCACGCGGACAAATTGAATTATTTACAATGCCGTATCTCTGCAGGCTGTGAAATTAGTTGAACATTCTAGGAAAAACTTGATGTGTTGGCAGTGCGCCAAGTGCGACGTACACGGCCAATGTATGATCATTGGCGTGTTGTGCGTCACTGCTTGTGATGAAGAGCGTCTAAATAAAGACAACCGTCGTCACTATTGCAGATCACAAGCTTCAAAGTGAAGAAATATCGAGCGCTGCACTGCATCGTGCTTACCGAGTTATTTTACTTTGATTATCATAAAATCCTCTCATAGGAAAAAATTTTATTTATTAATAATGGCCTCTTCATTCTATTCTAAGATTGATTTTTGGAAGTATTTTGCAGATGTCATACTGTGTCGTTCAATTAAAGTTTATTGAATAAATTTTCTAACAAGAGGTCTCATGAACTGATGTGCATGGAAATATATCCATCCACCTCGTAGCTCTTTTTTATGTAAAATTATTTCTTGTTATGAACAATCATTTTTGAAATCTAACAATAATTGCTATTTTTTTGTCAATTTTATGTTTTTGAAGACTTCTGTCTTCTAATGTTAAAGCGGCTTATCGGAAAACGTCTAGGGGCGCAGTCGAATGTTTGCAACCGTTTCGTCTTGAAAACCATCGCCTTTTTAGCGCATTTTCTCATTTATGGAAAAAATGCACTATTGTGCTCGCCATGTCCGTCCGTCCGTCTGTCTGTCTGTCTGTCTGTCTGTCTGTCTGTCTNATGCGCTCTCTGTCACTCACTGCAGTGAGTACTGAGTTATATTTTTTGCATATTTTTGTGCTGCATGTGATGTGCTACGACGCTCAGGGTATGCACATGCATTTCTGCTGTATTCGTGCAGCTGACCTTGCAGCTTAGTTGGCATCATCCAACACGCGCGCCTTTCAGGCATGCCATGGCAGGGCGAGAGCTGTGCACCAGACGATGTTGTGAGGAAATAAGGAAATAATGGACATATAAGACTTGAACATGCGGCTGTGAAGCTCCCGGGCGTGTTGATTCGCATTCAAAAATTGTTGACTGATGGATCTTCGTTACATTTGGTCACGGCAAAACTCGTGATATGATTTCCTCGTGAGCCAAATGAATTTACGAGTCAAAGAATTTTTAAAACTGTCATTGATCGTATAAAATACTACTATTTCGAATCGAAAGCTTTAGTAAGGCGATGTTATGCTTCAGTTTCTACATGAGTATCCTATGTGATTATATACAAGTATGCTTCAAGTTCAACAGGTTCTGCTTTTGACCTAAACGCCTGATAACTTGACTTGCCATAAAATTATTTTTATTTTTCCTATTTTCTGCCGAACTGTACGATTGAATGGACTGTTAAGGATGTGCCATATTTGAAACTGGCGGTTATAAATCTTCAATAAAATTTCACGAAAAAGATCACGTTTGCAGTATCCGATAATTTTTCTACTTTACCAGATGAATTTGTGTTCAATGTAAACATTGACGTATAATAAGTGCTACAATGTGTCTAATTCTTTCCTCGTCACTTGGGAAACTAACCGGCTAACTACTACTTAACTACTTAATCACATATTGTATCAAAGTATAGCGTGGAAGGATTAAAACATACGGTATTGTGATTTGCCTTACTTGGTAAATATGCTACAATGTTTTGACTATTTGATGCTCGCCAGATGACACGATGTATGTAGCGAGACCCGCAATGTTTTCGCGCGGCTTTAGAGCGATATTTCACGTGACATTTCACTGCCGAGCGCAGGTGCCGGTGAACTTTTTCAGGGCACTCAGGCGACGTTAGCTGTACCTTGAGACATCTGCAGGAAGTTTTTATTAATTTTCCACCACGACGATATTTGTATTCTAAATTATGGGCAGAGAAACAATGGGAAATTGTGCAACAATTTACAATTAATCTCACGATTCAGAACGGATTCACAAGTGCTATAACCCTCTTCGTAAATGCGATATCGAGCCTGGATCTATTTATGATCGCCTAATGATTTTGAATTTATGCACTATGTTTGCTTTACGTGTTCATCAGCGCTTATGATTTCAAACAAAACAAAGCACGTGCGGCATCCAGCGAAAAGTAATTTGTGTTGAGAAAACTTCTGCGTAGATGCAAAAAATACCGGGCACAACTTAGATGTAATTAATTGCAGAATATCATGATCCGGTCATGCTGATGATGTATTTGCTTGTTACGTCCGTTGTTAAATGGACCAGAATCTTGAATAGTTCTATTTGTTTGCAGTTAAAATAAAGCAGAGAAATAGTATTAAAAATACTATTTCTCTATACCTTTTCTTTCTCTATACTATACTACTATAAAAAATAGTTAAAATAGTAAAAGAGTAAATAGTATAAGCTCTCAAGACGCTTGGCGCCATCGCAGTGGCCTGCACTCGCGTAGGTCTATTTTTCCGGCACTCGTCACTCCCACGTTCGTCGTAGCGAGGCTTCTGACCTGCATCGCAAGGGTAGTTTCGAAATTGATTTCCCAATGTAACTGAATTTGCTGCAGTTGAATTGAATGGTAAATTATGCTATTCTTACAAGTATGTCATTCGCAAGGGTGCTTTCGAAATTGACTTCCCAACGTAACTGAATTAAATGCAGTTCAATTGAATGGTAAATTACGCTATTCATACAAATATCTCATTGTGAGAGTGTGGACGGATAATTAAATCTGGGTCGGAGCGAGCTTTAGTAACGCTAGGCCTAATCCTGCTCAGTGGTTCCCTGTGAGTCATTTCAAACAATTTCACTGCCGAGCGCAGGTGCCGGTGAACTTTTTCAAGGCACTCATGCGACGTTAGCTGTGCCTTGAGACATCTGCAGGAAGTTTCTATTAATTTTCCACTACGACGATATTTGTATTCAAAATTACGGGCAAAGGCCCATAATTGTACAAACAATTGTACAAAGAAACAATGGGAAATTGTGCAAAAATTTACAATTAATCTCACGATTCAGAACGGATTCACCAATGCTATAACCCTCTTCGTAAATGCGATATCGAGCCTGGATCTATTTATGATCGCCTGATGATTTTGAATTTATGCCCCATGTTTGATTTGCGTGTTCATCAGCGCTTATGATTTCAAACTAAACAAACCCCATGCGGCATCCAGCGAAAATTACTTTGTTTTGACGTGTAATTAATTGCATCATTATCCGATCGCGCTGATGTATTTACTTGTTACGTTAGTTGTTAAATGGACTAGAATCTTGAATCGTTCTATTCGTTTGAATTTAAAATAAGGCTGAGAAATAGTATTGCGCTGCACGCATAGGCTCTCAAGACGCTTGGCGCCGTCGCTGTGGTCTGCACACGCGTACGTAGAAGGTCTATTTTTCCGACCGTCGTGACATCCATGCGTCGTAGCGAGGCTCTTGCCCTGCATAGCAGGGGTAGTTTCGAAATTGCTAGGGCAGGGGAAAATTTAGGGTAGTTTCGAAATTGATTTCCCAAATGTAACTGAATTAACTGCAGTTGAATTGAATGGTAAATTATGCTGTTCTTACAAGTATGTCATTCGCCAGGGTAGTTTTTAAATTGATTTCCCATGTAACTGAATTAACTGCAGTTTAATTGAATGGTAAATTATAGGATATACCATTCTTACAAGTATGTCATTCGCAAGGGTAGTTTTTTTAATTGATTTCCAAATGTAACTGAATTAACTGCAGTTCAATTGAATGGTAAATTATGCTATTCTAACAAGTATGTCATTCGCAAGGGTACTTTCGAAATTGATTTCCAAATGTAACTGAATTAACTGCAGTTGAATTGAATGGTAAATTATGCTATTCTTACAAGTATGTCATTCGCAAGGGTAGTTTTCAAATTGATTTCCAAATGTAACTGAATTACCTGTAGTTTAATTAAATGGTAAATCACGCTATTCATATAAATATCTCATTGTGAGAGTGTGGACGGATAATTAAATCTTGGTCGGAGCGAGCTATAGTAACGCTAGGCCTACTCATGCTCAGTGGTTCCCGGTGAGTCATTTCAAACAATTATGGTGTAGTTTAGTTCATGGCTCAGAACATGCCACGACATTAGAGGCTGATGTCTATTAATTTTCATTACCAATGCTCGGTAACGGATTTTATTCCATGACGAATCAGAAGTGACAGGAGGGAGAAATAATAATTCTGTTTCAAAAATGAACTTTAACTAAATACCGGATAGTTGTAAGTCTTTCAAGCAAAAGCTCGGTAATTTGTTATAAAATTCATCCCCTTACTTTCCTAGATTTTTTCCCATTTCGTGAATAAATTAACCAAGATTTTTCTTAAACTCATTTCGCCATACGAGACAATCATTTTTACAAGCTATTGTTTTTTCATTAATGAATAAGGGTATACCTTCAGTTACACAGTAATTCTTATTGATGGTATTTTTGTACATCACCCTCGCAGGAGCGCGTGGGGCCAGGCTACCCCTCAGATTTCGTTGACAGAGGACCTCACCGCGAATTACAAGCTATTGTTTTTTCATTAATGAATAAGGGTATACCTTCAGTTACACAATAATTCTTATTAATGTTATTTTCATATTTCACCCTTACAGGAGCGCGTGGGGCCAGGCTCGCCGCAGATTTCGTTACCAGAGGACCTCACTGCGAAGCTAGCGGTGAACATCGTCAGGATGGTGGAGGCCGAGGAGCGAGGCGTCAGGTTCGTTTACCAACCCACTTGTCTCCTTAGTTTGAGAATAGAAAATATTACCTGAACCATATAAAGTAAATTAAAGTTTTTAGCATACTTTTTTGTCACGAAGTTAAAAGGTGGTGCCTATCTGAATTTTTCAGTCTTCTTGAATCAGGTTTTATGCTCGTTTTTAGACATATTTTTTGGAAAGCAAACTTCTTTTTGGTAATTTATTAAATATTTCTTATACAAATTTAGGCATCAGCGCGAAAAATAATAGTGACAATAATACGTACTAAGTTATTCCCAGCGTGGAGTAGTATCAAACTAATAATCAAACTAATAAGTTTACTAATCTGCGTATGCCGCAATGTGACCGATATATTGTTTGTTATACTTGATGCGTCTACTTTCAGCAGGTTAATGTGATTGTTATACATGATGCGTCTACTTTCAGCTTGTTAATATGATTGTTAATTGTTATACATGATGCGTCTACTTTCAGCAGGTTAATATGATTGTTATACATAATGCGTCTACTTTCAGCAGGTTAAAATGATTGCCATACTTGATGCTTCTACTTTCAGCAGGCAAATTTACCTTATACAGCCTCGTCTAAAACTCGTCTTGTTTTCAGAGGCTGCGCCATCGTCGTGATGCTCCACGACGGCGATAAGAAGACCACACTAGGGAAGGTTGTGTGCGATCCTTCATGCGTTACTAAGACCCTCCTGCACCTGCACCTCAACAGGATGGACAACCCTGATGCCAGGTACTGCAGTTGTGGGATTAGTTCGACCCTTCTCCTCAACCCCCCTTGTGAAGAAAAAGATGAAGTATCATAGTTGAAATGTGTACGGAATTATCCGATTTCATGGAAGTAATAAAATAATTGATCTATTTCTGTTATAATTCGTAGCACTGGCCTGGGTTGTGAATTTTCATTACTTGTGCACTGCAGGGTTACTAGATGGCCTAACATCCGACACAGGATAGGCCTTTTCTGTTCGTTTAGTCCGCTAACAGAAAAGGCCTATGACTCAATATATACTAGTATATTTGTAAGTTCCGGTGTAAAAATTCAATAAGTTATTTGCAGTTTGAAATTCTAATTAGAAAGTAACCCTATCATCATATTTTTGCCGGCCAACGTAATTGGAAAAAAACTAGATCGCGGAATTTGTCCAGAAAAAAGACAGTCATGCAGGCAACCCTGGTGCACAGATTTTAACAGCGAAATAGTGCATGAAATTCATTTCGTTCGTATATTTCCTTTAATTTAGATGTGTAAACTAACTAGATGCTCTGAACAGCTCTGGGGAAGGAGAGGCGGCGAAACGATCTTCGAAAAACATAATTTACATCAGCCCGGGCTACACGCTAGAGAAAACACGCAAGCCTCGACATCGGCGCACCCGAACCCTAACCTCCTCGTCACAAGGCAGCGGGTCTTCCCTGGAGTCACTCCAAGCCTCCAAGTCCAGTGTGGGGCTTTGTCGGATGGGATCACGAGTGTATGATCTGTACTAAGCTCAAAAATTTTAATGTAAATACCTATTTTAGTATATTTAGGGACCTATTCTTAAAGAAAACATATGCAGCTAGCACATTTT